GCTGTGGCAAGCTTGAGCTGGCCGACGGGCGTGCGCCGAACGATCTGACCACCTTGAACAAGGTCGAAGCGCACCACAGCGCAAGGCGCAAAGCTCCAGCTAGCACCTTGACCAGGCATTTTGGATACCATTCGGCTGTTGCACGCCGCCCAAGATGGCAGCTACATCATACATGAACAGCTCGCTCTACACACGGAGCAGGAGCAGGGTCGCCGCCAGCCGGATACGAACATACAATTGGCCGCCGATCCAGCTCAACTTCTGGATCTTTGTTATGCTGCTTGCCTCGACGGCCATTCTGGGTGTTTTCTCGGTTTTTGTTCAGACACAGTACCAGTTGCTGTTACCGATACCATGGTAAGACCCAGCTGCTTCCCCCCCCTGATCTTCCATTGTCTGTTTTGATGCTAATGTCCGCCGTCTCGGAACGCTTTGCAGGTACTTCCCTTACTTCATGACCGTCAGCTGTCTTTCGATCGTCTTCATCGCCGGCCTGTTCTGGCTGATTGCCGAGCGCCGACTCCTACCTGCGATCGTGATGATAGGCGCCTTCATTCTGTTTGTACTATGGCTCACGGGGCTCATCATTATCTCGATTGAGCTATTTGGGCCGACGGGGTCTATATCCAGCACCTGCAACAACCAAGTGTTCAGTCACAACCCCAAGGGCCAGACGATGGAGGTGTTGGCATACTTGCAACAGAAGAATATTTGTAAGCCGGGATCCGGGGATCTCTTTGGAGAGTCCATGATCAAGTCTGCCGTTGATCCGTAGGCTAACTGTTGCTCTTCTCAAAAATAGGTGAATCCTGGCGACTCGTCTTTGCGATGGGCCTGATAGGCACCGTTTTCCTCTTGTGGATCATGATCATGGCCTACCAGGTCTTTGTCAATTCTTGAACATCGTTCGATATCGGCTTCTTTTCGTCGAGAGACCTGACAACAACAACCAGTTCCGCCTACGAGCCCAAGCGGCATATCTATTCATATATTTCTTCACGCTACAGTACAATTATCCGAACCTGTGTATCGAGACACGAGGGGCATACAGATGTTACGAGATTGGGGCATGGTCTTTTTTCTTTTCTTTTTGAATAACAGCGTGAGGTTTGTCTTTTTGCGGTAATGTCATGACAGCGAGATATATGGCAGCGGAGACTGGTTATCTACTACCCACATACAGCATTGGGACTGGCGTTTTGATTGTTGGAAACACTGCCCGGGAAAGATGCCCGGTGTCTGAGCGCTGACGAGAGTGTTCTCCTGTTTATGTTTTGGCCTGATCGAAGTAGATTTGTGCTCTGTATCTAGGAGTTGCCCGCTGAAAAGGCGACCCGTCTTATTTATTGCAATATAGCAAGGTGCGCTTGCTCATCATCTACAACTTAACGCACGCCTTACGACCGCGACCTAATAGACATGGATATTACACTTTACCCTGCCGCTGAGGAGTTCCCTCTTGCTTGCATGTTGTTCCCCGGGATTGCTATTTGAAGAAACGTCCTGCAGCTTGGATCCCATATTTAGCAGCCCCAACGCCCATCCGTGCTGAGGATACCTCTCACTAAGGGTCCGTCGCAGCTGGTCCCTCTGATCAGCGCTTCAAACGGACTGGACTGGGCACGGCACGGCGCGATCCCCACCTAGCCAAGAAGAAAGTCTGGCTTAGAGGCACGACTGCAGGAATTTGCGCAGCCGCTTCTAAGAATGGGCCCATGGAGGGGCCACGCATGCACATTATTTCCTCAATTATGTCTCTGTCGCAGGCCTCCAATTGACACAGCCGTCACAACGCTAATATCGGGGTTAGTGCGATTGGCGGCCATCCATTTCACCATGTGAACTTGCTACGTGCCTGGGGGAAGGGTCCAGTCTCGAACTTGAAAGTACAGCCGTTAAGATCATCACCGCTGATCGGCGCCAGCTGTTATCTGTCAACGCTGCAGGGACGAGGCAATTTCAATCAGCGACTGGCAGACTGCACTGCTGTCTCGGCGATACTCCAAACATGTCTCTGCACCGCCGCTCTCATAGAGCCAGAGCTGAGCTGATGCTGCAGAAGAAGGGTCTCATCTAGCCTATTGGAGGCTAGACCTAACCAAAGTCATCGAGCTAGATATCTAACCCACCTGATATTAACTCTAATGTACACTTCAGTTGTGAGTCTAGATAGGAAGACGACGAGGGCTAAGGCTAACCGAAGGCTGCGCCTCATTCCCCTCCACCCCTCCCACCCCTAAAACAAGGGTCCAGACATGCGGGATGCAGTGTGATGTGACTGGAACGAAGGGGAGGGGTCCATGGCTGGGTAAATTGAGCACGCATATAAGTACCGCCAGCACGCACTCATCAATACTCACAGCAGATCATCCCTCTCCTGATCCCCGCCCATCAACCTCAAACCATTTCTGCTCACTGTGATCCATTGCCAAATTACACCCCCTCATCATGGATATGCTCAAGAAGCTAGTAAGCGGCAACAAACAGAAGCCGGCCAAGGAGGGCCAACAGGACGACTACGTTGACAAAGGTGTGCACACGGCTCATCCCGGACCTGATACTACCAATATGATACTCCCCGAATGATGGACTGACATTTACTGATGCAGCCTTCGGCGCTGCCAACAAAAAGGGCGGCTTCGGTCTCAGCAGGGATGCTCAGGAGAAGATCACCGACGGAGCTCGTTCAGCCGTCGAGAAGCTCACTGGGTATGTTTCCCCCCAATTGCTCATTCCGCAACCAAGTCTTTCAAGGCCCTCTCCCCCCCCCAGTGAATTCATTTCATCTGACTGACACTCCATGTTCCGCCCTTTTAGCAAGAAAATTGACCCCAAGATCTCCAACTGAGATTACCCACCTGGACCCCTCATTTAGCTTGTTTCTTCTCCTTACCTCGCGCAGGGCCGCGAATTCGGCTTGGTGTGGACGACAGGCCAGCGGCCGCTTTATTCAAGCAGCTTAATACGTGGATATTTTTTTTAGCCTTGCAGATGAATACCAATATTTGTTTCTCGTCTTATTCTTACCTCTACTTGCCTAGCCGCGATGAATTAACTCGAGGTGATCCCCACGACCCCTGCCCATCAACCTGCTCCATATCAACTCCATGTCCCCGTGCTGGCCGCGTTCCTTGTTTGAGCGTGGGGCTCTGAGCTGCAAGGGTTGGAGCACCCTGACTCCATGCTGGCAGCTGTGATGTCAGCGTGCTTGTCATGCTGTTGCAATACATCGTTGTCATCTGGGTTGGCAGTATGCTCAGAGTAGGTGAGGGGGCTTACGAGATTACGCGTAAGCACCGTCTCGGCCCTCCCCATGATGACCTCGATGTGTTGGAGGTCTTGGTGGCCTGTTAGGTAAGGTGTAAGCGGGAAACGCCCAGAACTTGTCATCGTTCATGCGCTGACGACGCAGCTCCCTAGGGCGTTGTACCTGCTGTTCCATGGAGGAACTCACACTGTAAATCGCCAAACTTCTTGGCGCAAGATGTCTTTGATGGGTTATACCGATTTCAGAATGAAGACCTTCACTTTGGAATACAGTGCTAGTTCTAATTCGATTGATTGTCCTTCACATTGTTTGGAGTATCTTGTTACTCGCTTTGCGGAAAGCGACCAACTCGAATGATGCTCAGTGGCGGGATGATATAGTACCAGATCGTAAACATGTGTATCCATGCTAGCAACTGTCACCTATGCTCGATTTAGTGTTATTGATAGATAGTCTCTCCCTCTATAGATAGTCTTTTCGGTTGAAGGAAATAATCCAACCACCTCGGTGTTTCCTTAATAACCTTTAACTAGGTAAGTAATATTTTCACAAGCTAGCTAGTATTCAAGCTCATCACGTATCCTTAAGCTAGCCTTCAGTACGAATTCCATCTACTGATTATACCAAACTCAAGATTCTACGTGCGTCTATTTTCACTCCAGCTGCGCCCTGATTGATTTCTAGGAAATGGCCATGTAATTCAGAGCCCCAATATCAATCAAACTAAATTCAGATCAGTGGGTTCAGTACTCAAGCTATAGGTGCACCTCTACTAGCCTGACTTACTCTCACCCCTGGCTGGTTGAGTGATATCTTGGGGGAATATTTACCGCTATCAAGAAGATTCTTCTACTCCGGTTTGGATTATCCTCGAAGAAGAGGAGAACACGATGTGGATCTGTAACAGAGATAGCTTCAAACAAAATACTGGAGTGCTCTATTACCGCTATGACTTGTGTTCCAAAACTCCTAATCCTATGCTTAAGGACATTGTATTCAATAAACTGGTCACACTTGGCCACACCATCCTCAACTCCTGTCCTCGTATACCTGTCCAGGCTGGTAACGTAACTCGTAACACCCAGAGTGTTCGTACTTGGTCTATCTAGAGAAGCCATGCAATCATGTAAACCATCAGCTATAATACTATCCGAGCTTTTAGGAATCAGGGCTTATTCATCTGTCCAGAAACTTATGTATTGACCCTCATGTAAAGAGAGGTTTAAAAATCCCGACAACTTCGAAAGCTTCCGATTATAATCTCATAGGTAGTACAATAGTTCGTATCTCCTGTTTACGATTCGGCAGCTCCTCCGGAGTGATAGTAAGTCTAGGAATTAACATTGTTTCACTGATAATTAAATTATGATTCAGGCCAAATTAAAGATTGTTCATAACTTATGCGAGTGATCGCACTTTTTGTTTGTTCATTATCAATGTACGTATCTAGGTATGTGAAGTATCCTCGCTATCTAAATTCCGACCCAAAAAAGAAAATATCATAAAAGAAGAAAGTATGAAGAAGAAGAAGTAGGGAAGAAGGGAAAAACGCTCTAAATGTGCAAAAGAAATCGAGCAACTCCGCACCCAGTCTCTAGACCTAACCCAGGACTAGGGGTGTTACTCTCGCAGGCAATGGGCGGTGGCCGCTGCTGCTGAAGTAGAAAAGAAGATAATAGAAGTAGAAAGGAAACGCTTGGAGAAGCTCCAGAACAAGCACCCGGTTGGGCGACTACCTTCGGAACTTCGCCATGATCTCCTGCGGTGTTGGCATGTGGGTAATGACCAGCACCGCGAAGAAGCAGACAACAATGATGGGCAGCTGCCACGGAGTCTCGGTGAAGTTCTCCAAGCTCGTCTCATTGGTGTTGATGAGAGCCACAAGACAGAGACCGACTCCGATAGTCACGACGGCTGAGGTACGAGCAATGTTGAAAATAGTCCATCCCTTTCTCTTGGAAATGAGATGGAGGATCATCAGGAAGATGAGAGCCAGGCCAGCAGCGATGAAGAGGTAGGATAGCTAGAGAAACACGCAAAGTTAGCCAAAGACAAACTTCAAACGTCCGAAGACACCATTAGGGCATTGATGTACTTACCACAAGAAGTGACCGTGCGATTGCCTCTACGGAGGCCCTCACATCTGAGTTTTGAATTTGAGCAACCGACGTCTTCGTCTTGCCCACGGAGATACTGAAGGATTTGTAAACGACTCGTTCCAGGAGGAAGCCAACGGTGTTGGTAGCGTTGGTGAATGTTGCCTCCTCGGTTGCGTTCATGCCGTTTTCCAGAATGCTGTCGGGAAGGGCCTTGAACTTATCGATGGCGTCTGAAATCACCTTCTGGTCGGCAGTGGAGTCAACCCCGTACAGGTTCATGATTGTCAGGGTCGTGTTTTGGAGCGCGTTGGCGACCGTAGTCATATTCTGAGATTGGGCCGCCGTCTGCAGGCTGGTGGTGAAGGTGTTGCCGATCTCGGTGAGTGCCTCGCTGGCTCGCCAGATGATTCCCCATTGGCCAGTACCCTCGGCGAGGAGAATCAGCACGCAGTGGAAGGGAAGATGCAGGAAGGACCAGATGGCTTGCGGGACACGCTTCATGTGATTGTGTTGGTGCATCCAATCGAAGTAGAGTGCAAAACACAAGTACAGGATGGATGTGGCGCAGAACACGGTTCCGATCAGTGCAGAGCCTACGGTCATTTGTCAGTCACTTATTCCAACCATATGAGTGGAAGTATACTCACTCCAGTAGGGAACGATGTTCTTGAGGTAAGTAAACTCCACAATGACAGTGATGTTCTTGGTGAGAATACTGGCACCCTCTCCAAGAACGATCAGAGTCAACACATTGAAGCGTTCTCGCATGTGAGTTCCCTCGAAGCTAAGAGTCTCGGACAAGGCAGATTGCCCGAGGACGGTAACCAGCTCAAGAACAGCCACGGTACACCAAATGATGAAGACATAGCCATTCAGGCCAGTGGGGGTGCTCGGTTTGATGGTGAGGCCAATGATGAGGTACAGCAGTCCCGGGACGAAGTGGATCAAAACGGTAACGAGGACGGGGATTCGGGTCTTGGAATAGTTGCGGGCCTGGAAGAGAACGACTCCGTACTGGGTAGCAAGCAGCAGACGCGAGAATGCCATGGTGATGCACGTGATTCTCATGATGGTTGGCAGCAAATTCTCCTTTCCAAATGAAATACCGAGAAGAGTGAAGCCGATCAGGGAGCCCAGGTGGCAAGCAAAGCCCATGCGTGCCAGGATACCATCTTGTCCAAATCGAACGATGTACACAGAGGTAACGAACCATGTTGTCCAGAGAAGCCTATAAAGTATGAGTTAATCGAGTACTGAGTGGCGACCGAACGTCGATCGAGAACGGATTGGCTGGCCGGCAAACTCAGGGAAATCTTACACGAAGTATGCGATGAAGATGTACAGAGTTGACTCTTCGGTGATGGGATTGGCCGAGGAGAAGACTGTAAGATTGGCGACAAACCAAAGATCGTAGAACAGCTAGAGTGGCAAGATGTGTAAGTCAATTGAGCGACGTGACGAGATGGGGATCGGGGGCCGATGATGCTAACCTCTGGTGCGGTCGCAGCCTCTCTCTATTCATCAATGCGTTAGCAAACATCTTCAAATGGATACTTGAGTTCAATATCAAGGGTGAGCATACCTTGTTAAACTCGACTCGAGACTTTCTTCTCGAGGGGCCGTCCGAGGAGGAGATGCTCTCGCTTCCAGGCTCCTTGGCGAAAGGCTTCTCGAGGAACTTGAGGTCAGAGCTGGCGAAGTTCATGTAGCTCGCTCCAGCTGGTGCGATATGAGCAGCCACCGGTGCGGGCGCAACGCCCATTTCCCTATCACTGTCCCAGTTCATAGTTGTGGATTATACAAGCGACTGTATATGGACTGGTCTGGAGGAGGTGTCAAGAAACACTTGGAGCTGACAGTCGAGAGGAAGGGCGAGGCAGCCATACTAATATTCTGATCCAGTTTGCACTGGCCATCCATTGTTTTGTCTGTTAGTCCACGGATGTAGCTGATCCTTCCGTTCGGCAGCGTCGATGCTGCGTGGTTAGACGGCGCTGCTCCCTACCAAGCATTTTTTTAATTCCAGACTAGTACAATTCCAGTAGCAATTTTTGGGGTCGATTCTATTCATGGAACGATAAGCCAGGCCGCTGACAAGGGTCCAAGCCCCAGAACAGGTTCGAAGAGTCCACAAGAGAGCTTCCGGCTTACAAGATTGGTCGCTTACTGAAGAGCCAGACAGGGGCCACGGTCATCATGGGCCAGGCTGTCAACAGCAGCAGTTGGTGCACCGAGCATTGAATGTTGAAACCACTAATTTGGGGTTTGGAGTAAGCTGCTGGGATCTGTTGGTGTTTGTGTCCCCGCGAGCGAAATGAGCCACTATGCCAGAACACGGTGTATTTTTCCAGATTAGTTCACATCTGGCCAGCTAAACGCTGACTGGGAGACGATGGCCAGCCTAGAGAGAGCCTGGTCACAGTCCGTCCCAAAATCATGGCACGCTAATGCATCGTGGCTGCTTCACTCGCAGTCTAGACTCTGGACCGTTGTAATTAAGGAGCCTCATATCACGCCGCAGCCAGTCTGTTGGTCGCGTTGATCTACAGTTGGCCCAACGGTCGCTCCAACTTGAAGTCGGCGGGCTGTTGGCCGTGTTGTTTCGCAGATTACAGGCCAGCTACGGCTTCTTTACAGCCGGCTGTCCCGGTCTTGATGATGACATGGACGAAGCTACAGAGCCGAGACGAGATGGTTCACCCACCAATGATCAACAGATCAACTGAATGCAAGCAATTCTTCAGCCCTACCAATGTCACTGGCAGTAGCGTGTAATAATACTGGAGGCCGCCATTACTCAGAAACGGTGATGATGTTTGCATCCTAAAATATCCACTAAATCATGGCTGGACAAGGGTTTGGATCCTGCGCCCCCAGCTTAAGCCTATTCTTATTCCCAATCCCCTTACGAATGCTAGATTTCACGGAGTAATCTCTGCTGACAAACTCAGCCTCGCTACCGGAGGCCGCTGGTATCTACCACTGACTATTATTATCACCAACAGACTCACCGTTCAATGGACATTTTCATGCCCGTCAAGCATTCTTTATCTAAGGCAGGCAATACGCACCGAGCGCTACCATGCCATACCCATGATAAGCTTGTTTGTCACCTTATTTTGTGTCCCCAGGCAATAGCCGCCAGGTAGCCAGCAAGTCAATTGACTACCTAGATAGCTTCAGCCACATCGCCAACTGTGCACATTCACTCACCATTGACATGATTTACTCTCCAGCGTACTGACGTGCTTTCTGGTACGCGGAAGGATGGGCACTTTCGGACGGCGTCACGGGAGGAATAAATGGTACCTGTTCCAGCTTCTATTCCACTGGCCACCCAAAGTTTGTAGTTCCCAAGAGGCCGCCCGAGGGATGCGCTCCTTTCGCTGCCGGATATCGATAGAACTTTGGGTACGGTGGCTTTCCCCTCCATTTCTCTATGGCAACAGAGCAGGGGCAGACATCATTGCAGGCTATGAATGATCCAACACTCTGTTTCCATGCGACTGCTCATCAAACAAGCCACTCGGTTTGGGGGAGAAAATCGCCATGGCATGCAGCTTTCGCCATCAATTGAACTCCGTGCCCCCCGCGGGTTATCCTGCTGCGTCTGGTTGGTCCGAACATCTTTTTCTACCCATGACCCTTGTAGCCCATGTAGATTTTGTAAGACCCTCACTGTTGGCCAACACCCTGCAGACAACACGACTTGGGCGACTCTGGTTAGGCCGGTGAGACCAACAAGGTGAAACAATGAAGAAATTTAGACTTTTCGCTAAAATTTCAAGAGTTAGCCTTGCGACTTTGAGTTACTATGATCTGCTGAAAGATAATATGCTTTTGTTGGCTACCTATGGATGTAGGTAGGTTAGGTTAGAAAGCTCATGTGGACAATGACCAGTGCCCAGTTTGTCCACTAACAGAGGCGTAATCATCAGCTAATAGACAAATAAAGATTAAGACGTCCCATAAAGATTTTTAAATAGGATTGTAGGATCAAATTATTTTATGAACTAAGGTACTTGAATATTCTTGATTGAAAGGGGGAGCTACGGGGTAGGCGACTTGAAGAGCCTGTCCGATGCTGTAGGGTACGTGCAGGTTGTCGACAACATTGATGGGTAATGAGGGTGATTCCATCAATCAATACAACAACTACGTCCAGCAAGGCAAGACATCAACATGAAAGCGGCTAATATTAACGAGACCACCGGCTAACGAGAGTCTCATACGCCGCTTCTTCGTTTTCGACTTCGGAGTCCAGTGAGAAGTTAGGACAAAACTCCAGGCGAAGCGCTTTAGCTTCTTCGAGGCGCCTTCGGGCGTCATCCTCGTAACCCATGGCCAACAGTGTCTGGCTAAGTTTATACAGAGCCCGGGCAATATCTGCTTTCCTGTATGCCTCATCCGTACCGGACCGGTATATTTTTAAAGCATCCTCCAAGTAATCTCTGCCAGGGAAAAAAATTAGCTCAAGTACTGACCCATTTCGAGCAGCCTTATATCATAGTCTAGGCATACTTGGCTTTCACCCAATGCCTGCTATCAGAATGGCCCATTCTGTAGTGATGCCAGGCCATTTTGTAACTGATTGTTCCATATTTGTGATGGGTTTCGCCGTATGTTGATTTAAAGCAACGTAGCGTCCGCGTATGTGTCTCGAATGCCTCGTCTAGTTGGCCTCGCTTAATGTATATGTTACCGAGCCAATAAAGCGCATGTCCTGGACTGTGAAGCCATGGGGGGTTAGCTAAACGCAAACGGTGAAGCTTGGGTTGGGGATGTCGAATACAGGTAATCATCCGTGTCGTCAATGCCGAATTCTTCAGCACGGCGCTTAATGAAGTCAAGAAGCCGCTTTTCTGCCTCCTCCAGCTTGTTCTGTGCAATCATGCATCGAGCTATGTTGATTTCATAGGCTGACCACTTTCTCAGAGCTGGCTTTAGGTTCAGTGCCTTTTGGAAGATGATCTCAGCTTCCTGGTCTCGGCCTAGCCCGTTCAAAGAATTAGCGATGCCGCCCCAGAGAACATATTCGTCATATTTCACAAGAGAGATGCCGGCTTTCGTCGCTTCATCGTAATAGTCCTTAGCCATCAGGAAGTGCTTGTAGGACATATCAAAGTCGGGGAGTTCTGTGGCGATGCAGGCGTGTGTGTAGTGAAGCTCTACGGCTTCGAAGCGACGGTCGGCTTCGATTCCGACGACAGTGATGGTCGAATCAGCTAGAATCCCTTCAGCAGTCTCTAGGAGATCGAGTCCACTTTGGAAGAAGCTCTTCTTGTAAGAGACCCTGATACTGATCGTTAGCGGTGACAGCCATAGCTAGTGACATTCACTAATGATGGCACTTACTCCGCTGCTTTCCTCAGTAATGTGAGAAATTCAACTGGCACCCGATGACGCAATTGGTCCTTGAGCCTCATCTCATTGTAGAACTGGTGTATAGACTGCGCATGTGGGAAATAGTCTTTGAACTCCTTCGTACGGAGCGACCAGGTAGTGCCCTTCTCTCCACGTGAGAGTATCATATTCGCAACAAGCGTCGCGGCGTTGAAAAAGGCGCGTTGCATTGCGGCTTCGGTCATCTGTAGCTGAATACAAACCTGCAGAAGACGGTGCACGTGGTGGCTCTGGTACTTCGATCCTTCTTCGACCGTGTTGGGGAGCATGAGTCTTTTCAACGTACGGAGGCATCTCGGCCAGTTCTTGATGAACTCGCAGCTCTCTAATGATGTTCCGATTGAACCGCAAGCGAATAGCTCTTCCTGGATAGTGTCTGGGTCGAGAAGAGCCACCGTTTCTACAAGATAGCAGGCCTGTTCGTCCACCTGCTCGAGTTCCTTCGACCAGACCTCCCTCAAGGCCTGTTCATAAGGCGCGAGTTGATGGTAGGTGGCTTCGGCTGTCGTTTCCCGAAGGACGCTATGGGCGGAGTTCCACTGCTGGTTGAAGATGCTCAAATGAACTGGAACCTCGCTGATAAGGCTTATGACTGCTTTGATACCCAGCGGGAGATAGCCCATCCGCTTTACAATTTGTTTCGCTTCTTCCCTGTCAAAGATGTGTCTTGAAACATCAAGGCTCAGCATCTCGATAGCCGCGTCTTCGGACAGAGGCGGAAGCTCCTTTCCATAGGCCACTTGGCTTTGGCCGATCAACGACCTGTCTCGTGTGGTGAGGATAACAGCCCCGGCTTTGGACTTTAATGGGAAGTGCATGTTGATGAGAATTTTACTCTCAGCGTTGTCAAAGACGAGGAGCCAGGGGCAGTCTAATAGAATAGCTGAGTTATTTTACCTCTACCCATTAGACATAACAAGGAAGCTCGAAATACATACCTGTAACCGCCAGATGGTTCAAAAGTGCCCTGGTATTGGTTACTAGATCTTTTGAATTCTCGCTAACAAGCCCTAGCTTGGCGGCAGACTGCGACATGGCTACCAAAAGCTTGTTCTCGTGGTCAGCAGTCACCCAGAAGATGTAGGAGAAGAGCTTCTGGTATTTGTAGGTAAATCTGAGTGCTGTCTGAGTCTTTCCTTGGCCCGGGCAGCCCCAAATAGTGTAGGATGGGGTGAGTCGGTCTGCGGCACTGGTTCTCTGTTGACCTTGAGTCTTGCTGAAAAGTGCAGATTTGATATCCTCCAGGTAATCTTCTCTTCCTACAAAACGGTCATAGTCAGGGAGTGTGATCAAGTGTAGTTTGGGCTCAACCTCAGGGTACTGAGTGTTGGTAATCGAAGGTTCAGATTGCCGGGCAAGAGCTTCTTGGTCATGAGAAGCATTTTCAACGTGTGTCGAGTATATCTGGGACCGAAAAGAGACACCCGATTTACTATCACTCAGAATTGGCATATCCTCGCCGCTCGAGGCAGCTGTCGCGTGTGAGCCCTCCCCTGCCGAGGGTAATCCGTTGGAAGGCACGGCAACAGTCGATGGCGACGCCAAGTTCTTGGGAGTCTGACTCTGAGCGTTATCGATGAATTGTCTAATACTTACGTCATATAGAGCACTAGGGAAATGAATGGCCTTTCCGTCTTGGCACACAAATTCCACAAACTCGATGTCCTTTCTCCCACTGGAAGTCAACTGTTGAGAACCCTAAGAAGCCAAGGTTAGCCACATCCATAATTAGAGGGAGAATTAATACTGCCCACCTTGCCTCGAGACAACTTCGAAACTAGTCGCTTGGATAATGAGAAACCCAGGGATCTTTCACTGTAAAGGACCAAACATTGGCCTTTTAGCTCCTCAACAGAATTTGCGAGGTCGCTCAAAGAGATGAGCACATCCTCGGGTATTTTCGCAGCGATGAAGCCGCTGCTTTCTCTATTTGCCTCTGCCCTAGCAGTATTTTGCAGGGCCTTGACAAAATCTTTCGGATTTTTACAGTATAGTGGTGTTCCCAAAAAGACAAAGTTGCTTGATTTGGTGTTGAGAGATATTGGACTCTTGGAAAGTCGTATTACCTGCATTTCGCTGTAAGAAGGGAGGAAGAGATCTTAAGATTAGATGAGATCATTATAGGCAATACAAACATTGAGTAGTGTGAATCCCCCAAGCCCATGACAGAGAAACACTCTCGGAGCCTGGTGTGAAACATGGTCAGGATCTGGGCATCATCGAACATCACAAATGGGAGAGAAACATACTTCGGACGGAACTTCTGCGAGGAAGCGATTCAAGAGCCCCAGTACATCGCTACTGCTCTCTAGGGGACGATCCCAAACCTTCGGGGCTTGGAAGTTGCCATTGACGAATAGCAATCGCATACCGGGGCAGCTGGAGTGTTTTTCCTTGAGCCAACAGTGCCCGGCCTCATCAGACCACGGATGATCTGCACTGCTGTTTGAAGTGATGCCATTGATGGCAATTACGCTTCACAAAAATCAGATGGGGGAGGGTAATCATTAATGGACAACATACATACACTATCGCTGGCGCATGCATATCGGATGCTTTGAGGTAAATCGAACCCCCTCCATATGAGTCGCTCATGGTGTGTAAAGAAAACAGCAAAGAAGATTACGACAGCAGCTTGGAGTCTTAGCTCTGTCGAGGTCTAATCATTGAATAAGTTGGGTTTTCGGGGGACATTAGGCGCTATGATCGATGAACTGCATAGCTCACAGCACCGGTAAGGGGACGGATTCGGTACACAAGAATACTATGTACACTCGGGTGCATGCCCTCTGTTTCGGGCAAGACTCCGAGCTAATTTTCCCATACCCACCTTATATTGTCTATCATTATTTCAAAGGAGCCAAGGAGCCAGTGATGTGATCGACCAGAACAAAGTAGGATCGATAGTGTGGACGCCATGCATATGCGTGCACACCCGACGCCATAATCTCTTATCAAGTCACACCTCGTTTCTTTTGAGACACAACGCGTTAAATCCACAGCCAGCGACGGTTCAATGATCAGCTGAACAGCTCCAAGGATTCGCCCCCGTCGCGTACGCATCAGCTGAGCAAAATGGCCATGCCCAACACCAGCAACCGAGCAACGTTTCAGGCCCAGGCCTGGTACCTGAAGCGGTTGGAGCTTTACTCGAGGGAGAAGCCGTACATGTTTGCATTCGACGTATCGTCACGCGGTGTGAACAACACGAACCACGAGTATGAGGAGAGACTGGTTTCCATGGCGGACATGAGAGGGCGAGAATCGCAATTCCTCTTGGACATCCATGGCTTCGAAATCCAACACCTTCCAACGGCCCTCCAGAACCAAGACTTTGACAATGGAGAGATTGTTCGGTCCACTTACTATCCTGAGATCGAAAGCCTGATGCGCACCAAGTTCCCAAGCGCGTATAAAATACACATATTCTCGCACCTGGTATGTATCCCCTCGCCCACAACCAAAGATGTTGGACCGGCTGACCAAGTGACCAGCGTCGGAAGAGACAATATGGTGGTTCTGGCCAAACAGAGAGCATGCTAGCCGCGGAGCCAGTTGCCTTTGCACACGCAGGTATACTTCAAAGGGGGGAAAGTTGGCCCGCCAAGTGACGCTGCTTATTGCTGACAGGGACGTGGGAGGACTAGACTTCAGCCCACACGGTGCATCACAACGCCTCGCGGCACTTGTCCAAGAGGACGAGGCGCTTCAAAAGTGCCGGTTGGAGATTATGAAGTAGGGACATTTTGAACATGGAAGAGAACCTCCTACTTGAATAATGCGGCTAACAGAAATGGCATAGCATCTGGCGGGTCACAAAAGGGCCCAACAATGACTGGCCTCTGGCCGTTTGCGACCATCGTACGGTCAAGATGAGTGATGTTGAGGTAAATGACGTGATTCACGACACGTATGTAGGGGAGAGTGTGCGCGCCTACTTCGACCCCGGCCATCGGTGGTACTTTCTGAGCGAGCAAAAGGTGGAAGAGACAATCATGTTCCGCAATACTGATTCAAGAGGCATGCAATATCCTTGTGAGTAAATATCACCTTGGTTTACTAGGGTTAGTACTGGGTCTGGTCGGTTGATGTACTGATATTTGGAGTTCCCTAGTTGCATTTCATTGTGCATTCCACTTCATGGATGACAAGCGTGAACAGCCACGAGAGAGCATAGAGACGAGAGTAGCAGTGTTTTTCAAGGAATGAAGACGAGGTATTGATGGCCTCCACCGTAGTATGGCTAAGCTACTTGTTCCCAATTCACGGTCATTCTCCTTTAGTCATTCTCCTTTGCATATTGAAGCATAGCCGAGTCACCGACGCTGAACACGCTCTGACGGGGGGCAGCAGTGACGAGGTGAGCGAACTGAGGGGATGTTGGATCACAGACCCTCTTCCAAGGCTGGTCACGGCGCTCAACAGGTCTGCGGCAACCTGCATCGGATGCTGGGGCTGGCTGCTCGTTGTTCATGATGGGTTTTGGTAATGTTTCTGGAACTACTTGATTGCTCAATCAGCCTGGCGCCAAGAGGCTATCCAGCGACGGTGGTCACTTACGAATGTATTGAAGTGAAGAGTTTTTTTTTTCTGGGATAACGAGGCATACTCAGGGACTTTGTGTCTGCCTGATTGATCATTGTATAAATAACTGAGTTATGTATGCAGGCAACCAGCACTAGCCGGTCACATCATCTAAAACGATGTGATAATGCCTTTGTCTACGACCAATTAATGTTTAGTGATAAGGCGTGCGTCAATGTGTTTCAGCCGCAGACCGGTGAGGCGGTTCCCAGACCAATGAGGCGCTTGCAAGTGGTGAGCGGGATCGGCTTCACAACATGATGCATAGCACTTTTGGGTTGGGCTCTGAGCGGCCGGTCTGTGGATAGATAGGCGGGTGAGATGAATCCACGTCTGCCCGATGCCCATGCAGGCTGACGCATGCCTCGCAGCTCCTGTGTTGTCTGCATGCTTATCTATTGTTTTTCTGCACAAGCCTGCTTCACGGCAGGTGAGACCAGGCCCTTCCCACAACAGGATTATGTCACGAGGAGCAGCCTGATTCAAGCCAGGTACTTGTGAGGTACGCCAGGCTCGATTCTGGCCAGGTATCAAGACATCCTCCCCTCCCTCCGAGGTCATATGTCCATGGTCACCGCCTACCAGCATACCTCGCCGGCTTCTATTATGCGCGCGGGTCAGCACATTTGTCGCATTCGCCCAAGCTTTTTTTCTCCAAGCCTGTATCGTCGTTCTGCGGCTGTGTGTATACCCAGGGATACGACATCGCGATTTTTGTTGGGGTTGCATCCGCTCACTGCCAAAAATCACTTGTCGCTCACTACCAGAAATCACTTGTCGCGTCTGTGTTCTGCTAAAGAGCCTCTTATCATGGCAGACATTGTTGTTCAAGAGCATTGCGTCGTGACCCTCGGCTCAATATCCTACTATGTCCGCAGCAGGATCGAGGTGATTTCCCCATTCTGTTACTTCTAAATAGAAGAGATACACATTCTCACCGTCCCAAAACTCAATAGAAGTCACTCGGCGATCAAGGTTCTGACCATCTGACCCCCGCCATTGTCGTTGACCTGCCTCATTCAGGGGTAACCCTGGAGCAGCTGGAACATTCTTTCGCTGGCTTTTATGCTGAGGATGATGTTTTTCAACAAGCCTTCCTACACGGGAGCATTATCATCGTCCAGCTTGATACTTATGCCGATGCCGAGCCCATTGTTCCTGACAATGTCCAGCAATTCCTCCAGTCTCACTCGAGCCGACTTGTCATATCCCGCCACTCTTCTTCTGATTCAAGAATTCCGCAAGGGCCTTATTTCAGCAAGAACCGCAAACTACACCAGGCATGGCGTCTCTACGAGGACCCGTTCCACAGTTTTGTGTCGGCCATTGTCCCGTCCGATGATGGCCATAAAGCTCGGTATGCGGCTCTACGAAAAAGTCACCTTACCTTCTTCGTGTTCACTCGCTGACAAGCATGCCGTGTAGATTCAAGCCACTGCCCGTCACCGCCTATACGGGTATACACCCTGTCGTTGCCGTCCCATCTCGACTCTACTTTCCTCCTTCCAACGACAAGCCTCTGAATGGCAAGCGCGTCACTGTCAAAGACAACTTCCACCTGGATGGCACCGTCACAACCATGGGCAGTCGATCATATGCAACCTACTACGGATTCCAGCACACAACGTCGTCATACGTTCAAGACCTATTACGTCAAGGCGCGGTGGTTATAGGCAAGACCAAGATGGGCGCTTTCACTGGCTCTGAGGCACCACCGGAGAAAACAATTGATTATTTCCCACCCTTTAACCCTCGCGGAGATGGATATCAAGGGCCATCCGGAAGCTCCATGGGGGCGGGATCTTCAATTGCAGCTTACGACTGGGTTGATATTTCGCTCGGTACCGATAGTAGGTCTATATTTCTCCTATTGCTCGCAGCAAGTACAGGTTTAACATAAAGTGACTCCCAGCTACTGGCAGCATCCGGATGCCCGCCGCATCCTACGGGGTATGGGGAATACGGGCAACACCCAGCACTTTCTCCCTCGAAGGCGTTGCGCCAAGTGTGCCGTAGGAATTCTTGTGCCTGATTCACATATTGTGTTGCTTGCTCACCTCTCTTGTAGGCCATTTGACACTCTCGGTATATTAGCGAGAACATCTTCCGAGATTCTCTCCCTTTATGATTCTCCCAAGAAAACCCTTGCTGGTATTACGGTGAGTGGTCACTTTCTATTGCCATCACCCCCCCCCCTTGATTTGTACGTAGGTAAATGGAACTAATCAGTAATGTCAGAAACCCAAACGCGTCTTATATCCAACTGATTTTTTCCCCATGAAGAACGATTCTCAACAGATCATGCAAGAAGAGTTCCTTGACGTCTTAGAGAAATATCTAGGAGTAAGACATGAAAAGGTGAACATCTCGGAAAGATGGTCGACCACTGGCCCGAAAAATGCACAGAACATCCCTCTCAGTGATTTCATGAAAAAGGTTGTCGCAAATTCCATTCGCACCCTCAGCAACCGTGGCTGCTAACTTGAACACACAGTCTGGGTACTGGCCCAACTTCTATGACGGATATCATGTCTATGATGAATTCAGATCAGGCTACCAGGACAAGTTTGGCAAGAAGCCATACGTTAGCCCCTTTATGACAACACGCTGGTACGAGGGCAGCACCCGAAGGTAGAAACGTAACTAATGAACAAATCAAAATAGGCAACGCGGCATTGATACAACCGTTGAACAACGGAACCAGGGTCTTCAGGAATGTCAGACTGTTTCTGACTGGGTGTATTCGGAGCTTCTTCATCCAGACACGATCATGTTGCTCCCTGTCGGACGACCAGGAGCTAATTATCGCGACACGATCCCAGAACCTGGCCGAGGAGGCCCCCCTGACACTGCATTCAGCCCAATGTACTTTCCTACAGCCATTGGAGCTCCACATCTCATTATACCAAGTATTCATTATCTTGCCATTTGTTGGGAGAATGACAGTGACGTGGCTAATGATTTTTTTTAGTCGGGCAGAATCCATTTGAATCACGAGTGTCTGGCAACCTTGAATACGCCCCGATCGTCGCTTCAATCATCGGACCCAAAGGTTCCTTTCTCAATCTACCCCTAGTCTTGATCGTCACAAATACTGACCCCCATGTTTTCTCAGGCACTGATGTAGCACTCCTATCAATCGCACAAGCAGCTCTCGATCAAGCTGGATGGCCGTCCGAGGTACAGACAGGCCGAAACATCTTTCCGCTGGATAACAACGCGAGACACGCGGGCATGCCAGTCACTCAGGTAAAGACAAAGCTGTAATTCCATCCCTCTGAAACGTCGATGGTCTCAGATTTCCAAACTCTGAAGTTTTTCCCAAAGCACTAACCATCTGTTGTCAGCTCGGATAGCAGCAGCATACCGGACCAGCTTCTAAAAGACCAAACAAGGGAAGTCTGGCCAAATCTGCTTGGGCCTTTGTTGCTTGTTGCTACTGTTTGCATGGTAGTCAGAACAGTTAGTAGTAAATTTAGGCAGATGACAAGTATCACTAGGATCAAGTGATAGGGAATAAAAGGAATTTTGTAGCTTTCCTGCGTATCTTGTAGGGCAAATGTTACGTCTCATCTGTGTGCTGCTGCCACTATGCTGGTATTTGGTGACCGTGCCGTGTCCTTACTAATAACTACGGATGCATTACAGCCGTCGATTAGAGGCGCCAATTGGTGAGAGTAAAACGATCCGACCTTCCTCCACCTTCAAAATTGAACCATATCTTACAATTCCGTCATTTATTCCTCGAAGCTCTGTACAAGTCGAAAGAAATCACGTCACGAGAACCATCATAGACATCAACAATGGCCGAGACACAGATCCTATACCTAAAACGCCTCGAAGACTACAAAAAGGAAAAGCCATTCGAAGTCTTATTCAGCCTTGAAGGATTTGCAGATGAGACAAAGCAGACCAACTGTGTCCTGGAACCGACGCCTGTCCTGATGCTCAACGCCCGCCAGGCCTCTGAGCCACCATCGCTTCGGAAGAACGGTTTTCAGCTCATCCACTCCCCATGCCCGCTCAAGAGTGATGATTTCGATGATAAACATGCCGTATCTGAGATATACTTGCCATCGGTCAAGCGCTGCGTTTTGGAGGTCCTCGAGGAACCTGCAGAGATGCACATTTTGAATCACAAGGTTTTCATGTCTTTCCCACTGGTGGCAATTCTCATGTGAATACGAGTTAATAGACATGAACATGATGCTCAGATTCGAAAGAGGAATTTTATGTTCCCTGCTATCTCCAAGGAAGAGACACAATATCTACAGCCAATTCCTTCTGTGCACGGCGGTGAGCTTTGCCGCCATCCCTCTTGAGAGAAAAGTAAATACTGATTCCTTAGCAGACTTCACGCCTTGGGGAGCGCAACCAGCGGTCCAAGATATTATTCAACAGAACCCTCACCTCCAGGGTCGACCCTTCCAAATCCTCAAGTGGGCTTCTTTCTTATCACAGCCTTGGCGGAGGGCCTCCCGCTTACATAGATTAGTGTTTGGAGAATGATCAACGGCCCAACCAGCGACTGGCCCCTGGCAGTTTGCGACTACCAGTCGCTCGACATCCCCCTGGATGTCGAGGAGTGCGATCGCGTCGCTTGGGACCGCACGACGGAGAGCATCCTGCTCTATGCAAACGCTGCCCACCGGTGGCACTACTTCCACGGCATGGAGCCCAATGAGGTGCTCGTGTTCCGTAACTGCGACACCCGTGGCTACCACGTACCTTGTAAGTACCCGCGCGCCCGAGGCTTGTTGTTATCTAGCTGCATATGTAGCTTACGCTCGCCCGCAGTCGGTGTGCATGTGGCTTTCGATTACCAATCTCAGCTGCTGCCCAAAGTCCCACGCCAGAGTATCGAGGTGCGAATTGTGTGCTTTTTTCGGTGAAACAATCCCGCGCTGAGTGTTCGGTGGCTTAGGATCGCTGGGGGTCATGACCATCACAAAGTACCAAATCTAGTTACACGGTCCAATGAGAGATGAATTTCTTATCCCAAGTGATAGATATGTCCCGGGGACTCTTGGTTGGTAGACTGCCTTTGGCACGCGATGTGATGTGTCCTGCCTCTTACTCCTTGAATTCACATGATTGGGCAAAACTGTCACAGCAATTTTGAGGCTCTGAGAGAAGATAAAGCTCATTGTGTGGGTATCCACGGTGGCATCAACACGCCACAGGCCACATTTTGTTTAGAGAATCAACTAAGCGCCTCTGGTTGAGTCGGATTTAGGGTGATTCATGTGATGTACCTTCTTCCGCGCGCTAGATGAAGCCCAAAAATGTCGTCAACGGACAATGTTCAGTCAAGCGAATCTATCATACCAGAAGATTGGGTCAAGAAATACAAGCTCTTTGAAGACACAGCGCTCCTGGCTCCCCTGCTGTCCCCTGAAGTCATACATCAATTGGTGACGGGCAATTCGGTATCATTAAACCAGAACCATGCGGGCTTCATGGTGTTTCCACTTGACGACTACCTCGGCACTGTTACTGCGGTCGGGCAAAAGCATCCCCCAGGCAGATTCGGCACTCCGGCCAGATTGTTGCCTGGTCATTCCATGATATCCATTCGTGGATCTCCACGCTTGTCTCTTCTCGCCCACCTAGGGATGAGGATAGGCCTTGAGCCAGCTGATATCTTCGACCACGCCAGCATCCCTGATTCGTTCCGGGTGAGCGGCCTCCCTCAATATCCGAAGCCGGTTCTTACCTTTCGAATGGTATCCTTCGGCAGGTGGTACAGAGCGCATAGCCGTGTCGGCCAACGACACTTGGATCTGTCCACCGAACAGTTTGCTAGGCGGGATACAATAGGCGACCAGCGTGAGGGCAGTGAACAATTCCGCCATATCAATCTTCATGCGGCCGACTTCATCAGTGTGGAGCAAAATGTGTCCTTCCTAGTATACAGCCGGGAGCAGGATGACAACAGCAGAGGCTGGTCCGGCATCTTGCTCAACGACAGTGGGGAGCAGAGTACCGCAGTACCGTGGGCCTCGTTGAAAACGCGGGACCATCCAGCATTTTTCCCCCTCGTGCGATCTGGCCGATGCACCGTTAGCACCGACCTGAGCTGGCATCCCCCTCACAACACCCAGGACAGCGGTAGTTACTCCAGCCCAGACCCATGCGAGTCGCGGGCCCGCCATGACAGCCGCTGCTTTATGAATGCCCAGGTGAAGGGGCTCGCGTGCCAAGACCCTTTAGTTGTAGTCTTCGATCTGCTCACGACATCGGCACTATCATGGAGCCGCTGCTTTGACTTCCTCCACGCTCTGCATCACAATAGGGGACATGATGATGTCGAGGACCGTGTTGCATTTCTTCTCCGGGACCGTCAAGTTCTGCACAATGCCAGGGCCTACTTCTCTGACATGCTTTCTTTCCTTCGGCGTCGGGAGCAGCTGACGTGGCCCCATGCCGCCACGCAGCAAGATCGCGTCAGGGTCGATGAGATGATCGAGTCAGCCGTGGAAACGCTGGTACATTTGGACCAGAGGGCCGATGACCTCTCTCGCATGTGTGCCGAGTCGATCGCGGTCGAGATGAACGTCATCAGCATCACAGAGGCGCGCAAGGGGCTCGCCCAAGCGTCCCGTATCGAGCTCCTCACGGTCCTTGCCTTTTTATTCATTCCAATGTCCTTCGTCAGCTCGTTTTTTGGCATGAATGTGCAGACTTTCAAGGACCCTGGCCCGCCGCTGGTAACATTCTTTCAGGTAGCCATTCCCATCACCCTAGTAAGTGTGGCGGTTCCTTTGGTGCCATGGATCAAGCGCTTGTGGTTATGGTTGACCAGTTCTCAATGGTGGTCTTGAAGCGGGTGATTTGGGGCCACACAACTACACTACACCAAGCCACGTCTAGAGGTTTAGATATAAAGAAGCGGAGGAGGTTAGTTGAGCGGTCCGCCGTATAGACTGTTAGTTTGTCATGGTACAAAGGAAGAAGTTTCAAGGTAGATGAAGCTGGATTAGATTTGAAAGGGAAGGAGTAATAGGCTGTGTAAATCATCCATAAGATGTTTGCCATATTAGTCCCTTGCTTCAAGGCAATGGCCGCAACTACCCAGCTTTGAACAAGACAATCCTTTCGGATATAATGAACGGATCTCATGTAGTTAATATCACAACCAAAGGCAATACTTTAGTCGTCAATAATTGTGAAGCTGCCAACAGCTTGTGCAGGGTGGGGATTTGGAGCTTAAAATAGGCTTGATTTTTCAATGGAAGTTAGGGCCGCGTCAGCCTTTTTAATCCTGGCTTGCCTGACTACCTAGGCTCACCTTACTAGTGTTATATAAGAGAGCTAGATAGGTTATACAGTAGCTGCTAAAACAAAAAAAGAAAAAAACATGAGGGGGAGGGAATATCTAAACACTAACTATTTAATAAATAATTAAGTGAGAGAGCTATGAAAATATTTAGTATTAGTTATAAGTATAATAATAAGCTATTTCTAGTCAACTTAGGCTTAAATAAGTAGATGTAGTTATTATATTTAGCTAGAATCATAATATTCCTCTAATATAGTTTATTAGTTTTTATCATAGCGGTTTCACAGTCAAAGAGATGTGCCAACAGGATGATTCCCAGAGTGGGAGACCCGTCCGTCTCCCACCCAACATAGACACGCAAGTGGCTTAATTCCGATGCCAAGCAGTAAACAGAAAGTCTCGGCCGTTACCGACCTACAAGGGTCGCGGTTTTTCAGTTACATTGCCATCACGCGTGGTGATTACCAATGGAAAGCGTGCGGCGCCGGCCAATCATTTTACCTTGAATAGGGAGGTTGAACCGAGGGTAACAGGGGGTGTGGTGCCTTGAAAGGGGATTACATGGAACCGGTGGAATAGCTGAACTGATATTGACTTTCTCAACATGCCTGCTGAGCTTCATGTTCCTAGCTAGTATCAAGTAAACCGAATACTTGTTCTGTGAAAGCCGATTACGTGACTGCAAGCATACTGGGTTGACGGGCAGCACCGGAAGATTTGTGGCGAGGCAGGACAGAGGGCTACAACCTGCCAGGATTTGTTACAAAGGGGGAACCCCCGATCAAGGATGACAGGGGCACCGTGGGGATATATGACTTCCGCTCTTCCCGAGGACCCTGCGGCCATGAATGTATGTTTCAACTTGTTCAGCATACGCCTGCTTCCCTGCATGAGCCTGCCTCGTTAAGGTTAATCTCGCTGGTGTTTGTTCGTCTGATCTGTGCGATATCCCCCGATGGCCAGAGATCTGAAACCATGACAGGTTCCCCAAACTGTGCCCGTTAGGCCGAGATGATTTTCTGCGTTATTGGCCATGGCGTGGTTTTGACAAGCGCCAGCCGTCAATAATCGCCGCCACAATGTGGGGAGGCGAGATAGTTCTGAGGTTGGTCAAGCCCCTAAGACAACGACACGAGAAGAGAAACACGAAAAGAGTAGACAGCAGATGGTCAATCAAAGTTCGTTTGATATTAGATATTATAGAAGTGCACCATAAATACATCACAAAAAAGCTGGCCCTGTCCTGTCGAACCTGTAGGCCCAAATAGATATTAAACACTCCTGAGAAGCAATTATATTGTAGAATAACCATCACGACATCATTCAAACGAGGCGGAGGTCTGAAGCCAGCGAGACACTTGCGTATCTCCTCCTCATCCATCACGCCCCCTTTTCTATACCTTACTAATCTTTCATTTTCTCTACTAAAAACGACGGAAGGCCAGAGAGTTCACACCCCCGCGGAGTGATAGCCCTTAAGCGGCACGGGGAGCAGAGTACCAGAAAGATCGGTCCTCGCCGAGACACTCGCCGGCGGTGACACTCTTGAGACCGCGGGACTGAAGCTCAGAGATGAGAAGGGGAACGAGCTGGTTGGCGGTGGAGGCGTGGACGTCGTGCTCCAGGACCAGGGAGCCGCCGGCGTCGAGACCGGCCTTGAAGGCGTCAAGAGAGAGCTGGGGGTTGGCGACGTGAGCCTCCTGCCAGTCGTTGGTATCAATATCGACGTTGAGGACCTTGTAGCCGAACTCCTTGAGGGTGGCGAGCGAGGTGGTGGTGGTGGTGAGGTATGGGGGGCGGAAGTAGTTGGGCCAGCTGCCGACGATGGAGACGAAGGCATTCTCGAGTGTCTTGAGGGAGGTGCGGAGCTCGGCATCGCTCTTGACGCTCAGATCCATGTGTTCCCAGCTGGTTTGAATCATGTTAGCCTGGTTTATGAATTTTCATGCTTGCATGGGAAGTGGACTTACGTGTGGGATCCCAGCTGATGGTTGTTGAAGCCACGGACGACAGTGGCAGGGCGGTCGTAGATGTTGCCAAAGTTCTGACCGTTCATGAAGAAGGTGGCCTTCATACCGGCGGCTTCAAGGAGGTCCATGACGTGCTCGGTGTACTCTCCTGGGCCGTCGTCAAACGTGAGGGCAACCGTGCCGGGAACTGAACACTTGGTGATCACAGTGCCGAGGGGAACATTGGAGGTGGGAAGGGGTGCGAAACTGGAGCTGGAGGTGGTCGAGACGATGGAGGAGGTGCTGGCGATGGAGGTGGTGCTAGCAATGGAGGTAGTGCTAGCAATGGAAGAGGTGCTGGCAATGGAAGAGGTGCTGGCAATGGAGGAGGTGCTAGCCACGGAGCTGGTGCTGGCAACGGAGGTGGTGCTGGCAACAGAGGTTGAGCTCACAACGGAGGTGCTGAAAGTTGAGACGGCGCTGGAGCTCGCGGGAGTAGTGGAAGAGGGAGTCGAGCTCGAGGGAGTAGCTGGAGCGGAGGTGCTACCAGGCGTGGTGGAAGAGCTGATAGGAGTAGCAGGGCCGTCGGAGGTGGAGGAAGAGATGATTGGGGTGCTGGTAGGGCTGACTCCGGCGGAGGTCGAGGTGATGATCACGACGGAGGAGGAGACACTGCCTGTGGGGGAAGGGCCGGTGGTACCAACAGCACTCTCGGAGGGAATGACACTTGAGCACTTGTGGTGCTTCTTCCCCCTCTTGTGGTGGCGGATGGGCTTGGCAGCAGCAGTGGCCGCCAGAGCGTAGACGACGAGGCTGGTGAAGAGCATCGTGACACTTTGTTTTTCAGTTCAGAACGAATGTGTGTTGATATTATTAGTATACTGGAGCGAGAGGAACGATCTGAATCAGATCAAAAGAATGTAGGCAGAGAGCCGAATGAGAAAAACGAAAGAGTGTATGTGTCGTGAGCCAACAACAACAACCAAATCCGGCCTAACGAAGAAAGGAGAAAGAAAGGTTCCTCACGGCGGATGTGTGGGAGCATCAACTACTTATTGTTGCCGCCATGATAACAATAGGACAGGCACGGCTGGGCATGGCTGGGCATCGAGGAGCTCCCTGACCGATTACCGCCGTTGTTGGATGAGACGATAGGATGGATGTACATTACGGAATAGGCAAGCAGAAGAATGGGGCAAACTACTAGACCGAACCGACCTCGCCTTTGGTCACCAGGGGGGTTGCTAATTAGCTGTACCTGCAGGAGTGGACAAGGACAGTGACGAGAGGGTGAACGGGACCCTGGACCTCTTCTGGCTAACTGCTCGCCCACTTGCCTTGTCACACGCATAGAGGCCCCATGTCCACTGCCCATGCCCTCTTTGCCAGTCCTCGTATCGGGTGCATGATGCAGGCGCCAAGAAGTGACTGGCTTGAAGGAAGACTTGGGCTGGGCTGAACGTGACGGGGGGACGGAGATGTGTCAAAGCGGCACTCGCCTGTAGGTGCTCTCGCTTTGATGGGGCCGGGTAGTGCAATATCACGGTGAGTGGTATAATTAGCAAATACCCTTTCAGGATGGGCTTGGACTGGAAATCTGTCTAGTATAGCGGCGGGTGCCTGAGCGAGTGTGGAGGATGGCTGAGAACCAGTGGGCGTTCTGAGCCGGCCGGACGATATCGTAGCGGCAGAATGACGAAAGGAGAGGAACTTTCCATCAGTTGATGGGGCTGATAAATCAGCAGTAGATTACACACCTGCACTTACACATCATGAAAGGGGACATTAGTCGCCCCATGATGACTGACTGGTGATATTTCACTGCAGGTATAAGAGACAAAGGCCGTGATTTCACACGAGATAAGGTAATCAAGGGCCCTATAGATATTGCTTTTTGTTGCATGGGGCCCGGTAGTGACGACTGAAGTACCTTATTATTCTCTCCTTACCCATCAAGTATCCACAGCATTCGTGCCGCCAGGGCAGTCGGAGGTGTGGGTGACCCTCGTGTATGTAAAGTGGTAATATTACGCAGTGCTTAAGGAAGCAGTAGGGAGATGGGGTAGACGCCTGGAGGAGAAAGGGGAGGGGGTGGCTTGCTTGATTTCAAGTCCGTACCTGATTTCTCATGCAGGTACGTAGGACAGGAAGCCTCCAATGTGAGAATAAGAATGTCTGGGGACAGAACGGTCACCAGAGGCCCAGGTACAGGCTTCCGGACCCATCGGATTCAGCCGTACGTAGTGCCTGACCTGATAGTATCTAGACCAATGGGAGTGCTCGGAGTCAGCCGGGAATAGGGGTGTTTTGTGCCCTGGTCCTTGTGCCAGAGCCCTGTAAAGTGAAATACAAAAGCGTCCTCGCCACGTATCCGCACGGGGCGAGGAGGATGGACGAGCGTAAAAAGATGTCCTCTCCCGCACCCAGCCAATCAGCAGGCCAGATTTCTAGGCGGCAACGGGATAAAGGGGCAGGGATGGCACCGGCTGATGGTAACCTTGTAATTTGCTTGTTTGCTTCTTCCGGCGGCGCATGAATGCTTATGTAGGTGGTGGGATAACCCGAGTTGCTCTGCGTCTTGAACGAGAGAACAGCGACGATGGCGCCATGGGTTGCATCACGACCTAGCGGGTGACCCATTCATTCTGCCAAAGAAAAAATTACTAGTAGTAAGCGGCTAAGCATCAGAATCTGGGGATGTGGCTGGCGACTATTGGCGGTTTGGCACATCAACAGCACACGACAAAGTAGAGGTAAATATTGGCCCATTCGTTCTCCGGGCCTTCCATTCTGGAGCATTTTTGGGGATGACCCCTGTCAACGAGCGTTAAAAAAATGGGCGGCCGCACATCCCTTTGGTACAACGTCTGTAGGGGGTGGCTGGATATGCTTCGGGAGTCCTTTGGCTGATACTACCAGCTGCCTCTATTTCTGTCAAACCATCTCCGAATATTCCCAGCCAGACACAAAGAAAGAGATACCCAGTCATGGAGAAGCTATTTCGGTTTGATTCAGGCCGCCCAGACGAAAACCCAAGAAGGAAACGCGAGTGTGAATCCCCACATCAGTCACACCCCCATGATGGAACCCTGGCAACCTGGCTGCCTCTATGGAGTTTGCTCTAAGTCCGCCTGGAGGAGTCAACCTAGTCCTCAATCAACCAGATGATAGGTATCTCGCTCCCCATTCTCCACTGCCACTCTCCGCTCGACTCTCAGGGCGACCACTCAATCCCCCCAGTCTCGGCGACCCTTGCATCGCTAAACTATCTATGTTAAGCTTAACACCCCCCCAAAGCCTCTTGGTTGCACTCTGCTTAGGCACTAAACACCTCATCCTGCCTTCCAGCCCTTCGTCCGTTGCCTTGGCGTGGTCTCATCCGCCAGTCACTCCATGCCCGCTCTGGACTTGGCAGAGCCGTCCGTTTTCTTCGCTCAGGCGCTGGCCATGCCACATTGCACCCGGATTCTGTATGAGGAAGGGATCATCGTCTTCGCCAGTGATGCACATGGCGCTATTAAGATCGGTAAGACATTACTCTGCGCCAACCACCACTGCTCAGGGTCCTAGCACAGCATCATGGTCGTGTTGCTCATTTACACGGCGACCGAAAAAAGAAAATCCTGGCAGATGCCACTCTCTATTGCCGGCCTTCCGAAATAGTATCCTGGCTTCAGCCTGCGCCATGTTTATGCGGGAACATTTGCCTGTTCTGCCTCCTCCTTGGCTTGGCCTGGCCGGAATTGGCTTCACGCCTGCCTCTCCGAGCCGAGCTGCAGATTTGCCTGCGATCAAGAGGCAAAGAAAATACACCCCTGAACCCTCTTCCCCCTCGTGGTTGTTGGCACATCGCGCAGGGCTCGCGGGCTGGATCCGTCTCACAGGGTGGTACCAGGGCTATACAACCCCTACCCCTGCTATTCGTGATCTCGGGTGAGGGAGCTGCGTCTCTCTATCTCTGCGTAGTCGCGTTCCAGCCAATCGCCAGCCGCCAGCTCTGTTGGTGGTTCAGCTCTGGTCAGCCCAACTCGGATCACGAGCTGTGCGCCATGGCCACTCTCTGCCCTTTTTCAAAAGAGCACACCCAATTGATCCCTTTGGGCGGTTAGCCAGTAGGCCGCCCACGCTGCCCCGTTGGTCATTGCGAAATGACAGCTTCGCCTGGCAAATTCGTGTTTTCTACGCGAGCTTCGCTCAGGCCCTCATCCGTGACATTCAAATCCAGGCGTCCGAACGCGATCACTCGATGCCCTAAACGTGGACATTCGTGTGTTTCAAGTCCCTTCAGCCGTACAGACGTAGCACAATGATGAACACCTCAAATCTGCGCTTGTTTCTGTGAAAGGGACGATCGCTACCCAACGAACTGCACCCCCTGGAGGGCGGCTATCGGATGCTCGGTGATCTGAGCTCCCAACCGACGATATTTTCTTGGACCTGTTGATCTCTTCCGATCCGGTCTACGCTACGCGACCTTCGTGATGATCTATTTCCATAGATAGACCGTGGTGGTGTAGCAGCCCGCGTCTATGTAAATGCTCTCCATCCGCCCTTTTCCTCGCCGTAGCAAGAATATACCATGCCAAGCCGACAACACTCCGTGATTTTCGCTGCATGGCGTTGCCCAAGTGGTCCCAGAACGTGTCCCGCCTGCTCGTGTGCCAATAGTTCGAGCGCCATCCGCACCTCTATTCCGACTCTAGTCTGCGCACGTTGAACGATCGACCAGCCATGAAACATGCCTGACGGAAAGAGAAACAGACGTTATCGTAGGATCAGCCACCGCCCCTGAATATCGGAGCCCATTGCATGTTGGTTGTGTTCCCAAGCGTGTGGTATTTGTGGGCATTGGGGGAGCCGTCCCAGAATAACAGGGCGAGAAGAATGGGGCTGTTGGAGAAAATAAAATCCCATTACGAGGTCCTCCTTTCCATTGGCTCGCAGACCGAGACACGGAAGAATAACAATTTCGATGGGATTTCATGACTCGCTCTCCGGCGAATGAATAACGTAGATTTTCACGGTGGAGAGATCTCGAGAGAGCCAAGCCTTCAAGTGGATTTCCCAACCAAACGGTCCCATTATACCTGAAAGCGGCCTCCTTCCTACGGTCCATCCGAAGAGAAAGGAAGGCTGTTAATTACCTTCGCCTTATGAATCAACCTTGACATTAAGCTTGGAGGCCCCTCGAGGGTGATGAGTAAGGGCAAGGATCCCACCAGTGTTTCATCCTGTTTTCTGAGGCGCGAATGCCAAGCACCGGTCAACGCAGCACGCGGTGATTTCGCCATCCCGAGTGTCACGCCGCCATGAATCGTGCTGCGGCGTTTTAGTTTGCGAGAGTAGAATTCTCGTGTGCTTGTAGGTTGCTGACGGGGCTGACACGCTGCGTATTTGCTTACTATTCGGGAAAGTCGTCAGCCGCAGGGATGCGCGGTTTTGGTCTGCGGAGGCGTTCGTGAGACGAGCCGAAACCATTTTCTCACTCCGATCGGTCCGGTCAGAAAGTGGATTGTCGATTGAGGAAGTCAGCACTTGGCGGAGAATTCTGCGATTGTTTCGCAACATCTTTCCAATTGCTAGACAAGTGACCTTTGGCTAGCCGTGTGGAGTCGGTGGCGATCATCATTAATTGAACTGATTCAGTCTGCTGCAATATGTACATACAGCCACCACGGACCGGCTGTGTCTTGCGTTTGGGAGACTGATATCCAAGAAGAACGACCTTGGTCGCCTCTCTTTGAACCTTAATGAGGCAGTCCGTGAAGGTCACAAACTTGCGTAAACTACTCTCCCTACAAAATTGTCTGTACTGCCCATATCTGAATTACTGACAGTGCATTTTTGATTGAAGAACACTTAAAAGGGAAAATAGACAGAGTGGGCAGTGGATGGCTGGCGGATATCTGGCGGGAGAGATCCGTCTCACTATCCAGTCTGTTTTTATATTGAGTTACATATGCCTAGTCTCTATAGATTCTTCCCCGGTTTACTGTTGCGGCTGTATCCTGATTCAATTCAGCGGCGAAGGCATCGTCCCAGTGTTTCAACAGCCGATTAGTTTCTTCATTTTTCTTTTCTAATTGACTCTTCTCTATTTTCCCGTTGCCCGGATAGCAAGCAACGTAGGCTAGGTAAACTCACACTTATTTTATACAGTAATACTGGGGGGAATGTTCCTATATTGATACAACGGCCTCAAAGTGAAGTCTTTGGGAGGAGTGATATGAAGGGTGAGATAAAAGGCCGCTCTGTCAACTTTGTCCGAACTCCAGACTGCGACTCTACCTGACAAAACCGAGTGGAAATTCCTAAATAGAACAGAACCATCTACGGAGCTTAGCAACAACGCGGAGCAGAGGGTTGGGCTGAGCGGGAACGGAGGACCCTCTCAAAACAACATGATGGGGGTGCGAGGCGTTCAAGCCGGCAGCATGAACCAGTGAATGACAAAAATGATTTAAATATGGGATCATTCAGGATAGCTTTGAATGTATTGCATGTTTTTTCCACCTCGACATTATAAGCAGCTTGATAAGAATAATTAGGGAACGTGTATTGTTAACATTGGATTATGTATTCATATGTATCAAACAATTTAACGCTGATTTCAATATCGCTACCACGAACATATTGAACATACGGTCTTGAATAACCTGTCTATATCTCTAAGATAGGGGGAATTCTTCTACTCGTGACCGCTTTCCCGCCGTGTGGCTGTTGGCATACACGCTTTCAGCGTCATCACCCGCAGAAGGACGAAACTTCTTGTCATCCATTATTCCAACTGTGAAAACTTTCCCTTTTTCTTTCTGTCCGACGAACCATCCAAGCCTAAAGAATGTTCCTGAGAAATACTCATGTAGCTCAGGCGGATACATTTGATAGGCCCGCTTTGGCAGGATCTCGGCGTAGTTGGAGCCTTCAAGGAGGGAGGACACCATTGCGACGCTGTTGAACCGGTAGGGCGCCAGTCCTTTCAGGTCCACATCCCATGGGAAGAAAGGTATCCGGTCGCGAAATAGATACCGAAATAGTGTATACGCCAAAGCCCAGATATGAACAGAGACAGTCAGAGATAGGATGAGCGTTAAAGCCAGGGTGGCCGGCTCACTCTGGAAGAGCCGGATCGCCCCCGCTCTTAGAATCCTTGCTTGGACGGGCGAAAGCTCTCCATGGCGGAAGGGAGCTACGGTCGAAGTCTGATTGGTGCGCAGCCGGTTTTCTTTGTGGACCAATTGAGCGGCCGCTATACGATGGAGCGAGGTGGCTTCAGCGAGAACGTCGGCTTGTGTTTCGGGGTTTCCAAGGTCATCTTGGGTAAGCGTGCCATAGGGCTGGAGAATGACGTTGAATTGAGACCCCATCTCCAGTACTTCTTGCCCTGAAGCTACCGAGAGCAGTGGCCAGACAGACGTGTACTTTGAGTCCTCTTCGCCTGTGGTATTGAAGGCCGGCATCTGGAACGGAGAGCTCCAGGGCCTCTCCTCGCCTGCCCTGATTGGAGGATCACTATGGTCGAACTGTATGGATCCATCCGCCTGTATCAGGCTGACATTGGTCGGGACTTCAACCCAAGAGTAGTTGCATCTCTGGACGGACAAATGGTTGAATGACGCAGTGGCTTCCGAGAAGCTCCCCCAGGCGTACGTCACAACTTCCCAAGACGAGTTTTTAGGCCTGGACTCGCAATACACCGACCTAAGCACCTTTGCAAAAGGGAGGGCTGCTGATGTTGCTGGCTGCGACACTTTCCTCCAAGGTGCCCAGGATGTATCCCAGGCGATAATGGTAGATCGGCTTGGGCATGTACGGGTCTGGGTAATGTTGGCTACTACTCTAGTCTCCCCCTCTCCGTTTTCTCCCTCGTTATTCTGGGCGGGGCCTTCAACTCGGCGGGTTTTGATCGCCAATTCGCTCTTTGGCACTTCTTCGCAGTCTTCGGACAGTCGCGCCGCAGGCATGTGCGAAGCCTTGACGACAGTGTTGGAGCCCCAAAAGCCATCCGACGTGTCCATGGAAAGTTCCGGAAACACCATGTCGTTGTAGGTCCACGGGGGGTAGGTGAAGTTATTTCGCTTGCTTATTGTTAGCAGCGCGCTTATGGAAAGGCGAGTAAGGCTGCGGTCGACGTCCAAGGTTTCTTTGGACGGAACCGAACTGAACCACGTGCGTTGGTCAAATTCTGTTCTGTAGGAGTGTGAGGTGGGGTTTGGAGTGAAAAGGAGGGTAGATATGGTTGTGAGAAACGCGCAGATAATAGCAATGCTCTGCGCCAGGGTGACTGAGAATATCCGAGAGCGGAGAGAATAATACCACGCTTTAAGCCCGAGCATGTCCAGCAAGTACACATCTAGCTCAACTGCCGTACATGATCTCCTGGAGAGGGCAAGAATTGTGGACAGGCTCCTCACAGTGGTGTCTGTTGCGTTCGCGTGAAGAGCCACGACGAGCATGGCCAAGGCGGGTAGGAATGTCCAGAGAAAGGAGGAGGAGGGGATGCTACCAACTGTGGCGATACCATTTGCTGCTGTCGACCTCTGGTGTGTCGCATTCAGGGCGATGATGAGGGCCAGTGTGTAGACAACGAACAGGAGGCGGTACCAAGGCCTCAGTATCATGGGAGAATATGAGCCTGCAGCCCAGAGGAGCTTTCTGTTCCCGTCTTGCTCTGCTTGGGCCTCCTTAGCGGAATGTCCCATTTCCTGGAAGAAAGTCATAGACCCCAGCAATGTTGCCGGGTCTCGATGCCAAGTCCCAAACACGCTCTTGGATCTTAGTCCTAGAAGCAGAGCAATGGATGCGCAGCAAGCAAAGACTATCGTCATTGCTATACCTATGCCCCTGTCCACGTGAAGGATGGGATTTTTCCTGCTAACGGATCCTTGCACCACATCCGAGGCATTCCTTTTGAGCTGGTAGTGAGCCACGAGAGGACTCATCTGACTCGTGATATTCAGAATCGACTGGTATAGGTTCTGGCTGTTATAAACGGAAGAATCCGATCCTTTAGCACTGGGTGCGCCCATCGCGCCCTGCAAATCATAGCTCGTCATGAACGGGCCTGGTAGTATGCCATCCCAACGATGATCCAGCCGAGGTATGCCAACCCACCGCTTTGAGTTCTCCGGGATACTCCACTCCAAGAAAGGCCAAGGATCAGAGTTGACAATTTTAGGCTCTCCCTGGTCTTGCAAAACTGTCATGTTCTGGCTCGTAGTGTCAGCCACGACCTCTACCTTGGACACGGTTGCTCTGGGAGCGCATAACACTGCAGCGAGGTTATCGAGGGTGGGGATCGACTTGTTCTTTGGTGTTGCTGACCAATGACCCGTAAGATACACGAAGTGGTCGGTTTCCTGTGGCAAGGAGGGGCAGCGACTAGCCCCCCTTTCCATATGATCCAAAATCCAGAAATTCGTGTCTCTGAGGTCTTCGTCAATCCAGTTCATGAAGGGAGAACGCACCGCGATGGGAGAAGGGCATCCCTCAAACTCCATATCCAACACATAGTGAAAGGACTTTTGTATCGGCTTCTTGTCAGGGCTTGCTCTCTTCGGGGGATTGGTGTAGTTTGTGAGAAGTCTGCATTCAACGTGCGTAAATAGCCCGTCGACAACAACCGTGACGGGATCTCTCATTGGCTCCTTTGTGTTGAAGGTTTGGTAGGCCGCCTGTTTGGAAGCGCCAAATGGGAGATTCATCTGGAAATCTCGAACGGCGACTGCATTGTAGTAGGCATCCATGGAAATCTGGGATACCGGCTCGTCAATAACGGTATCGAAAGAGTCCAGGATGTTCACTTCAATGGGCTCCGGCACGCCCCGTAGACTTATTTTGAACAAATTAGTTGAAAGAACGACCTGGACTCGGAGAAGAGCCGTGGCAAGGGCAGCAAAGAACACAAGGAAGTGTCGGTTCTGAAAGGACCGGAACAGAAGCACGGGCGGTATCATGGTCGTATAATCGAGATCCTTCCATTCGGAACCGCGAGGGCCATTTCTCGCAATCGCCCAGGGCATGTACCTCAGCGCCTGCAGCTCGACCCGCGACCAAAATATGGTGATAACCGTGAGAACTGTAGCGATGAACTGTTCAGCTTTGGGAGAGTTTCCCCTCGGCGAGGGAACTTACCCGCAGTCGGGGCAAACCTCCAAACGTCTGTAGCGCTCATTTCCGCCCGTCCCAGCCCCTTGGGTTTCTCGGAATACGATAATAAAATCGGAAAGGCTACTGTGCATGAGAAAAACAAGAGCAAGAAAACTCCAAGTAGAGATTGCTTTAGCCAAAACGGGCTCCAAGTCGCAGGTTGGGGTGCTGGGGTATCATCCTCAGTTGGCTCGTCCTCGGAATCGCTTGGCTGCAAAAGCGTCGCACTGGAATCGCCTTGAGGAGCCTCGTGAGAAAATTCCGTCATTTCAATCGATTTTGTTGAGCGCCCGGAACTTGTATCTTCCCCGAGCTGGAGGGCAAGCACCCGCCCCTTTCCCCGGTCCGAGAGCTGACTTATCGTAGAAGGTTTCTGCGGTTGGCGGGGAGAGCCACGGCCCTCATTCTCCAGGGAATCGTCAGAGTTGTGCGACTGCAAATCCACGGCGGTGCTGGGGCGGTCCTGAGCGTCATGGTCCTGGATCGCCAGCAACGGCTGGTTGTCTAAATCCTGCGGCTGAGACGCCATGACGGTGCCAGTGGGATGGTCGCGCACTCCTCAACTCCTGAGAGGGTAGTAAAGAGTCGGAATCGATGCCTGGTGGGCGGCCAAGGACTGAAATTTCATCCTGCGAGTTCGAGGCCCCTCCCCCTGCATCCAGCTGAACACTACCTGCTGCCCAGAGGTCTTTTTTTAGAAGTCGCCGCCTTGTTTTTGCCTTATGCCCTCTTATGTACTATTGCCATCGGCGAACTAACCCGTAGCAGTAAATGGTTGCGTGGGGGATGCAGATCCTTCGGCCCGCGACTTTGCCTGCGATTAGCTCCGGGCTACTGTTCAAGCTTACACTGCTAAATCACGCAAGTAGATCAAGGCTAGAGTGATACTGATGCTCTATAAAATGTAGAATGGTTAGAGACCTAGGCGTTTGACGTCTGCTCGCTTCAATCACACTCAGCTGAGGCCGTACAGAAATCAGAATTGGCGAACACCAAGTATCACGATAGCGAGGATGCATTCAAGTCAATGATTGATTAGAATTATTCTACTTCGACATCTTTCTTTTCCCCCTTCTGTCAAGGTTTGGCATGTTATCGCACTGGTGATCGGTCTCCTCCTTGGTGGTTTCCCGTGAGTGGTTGCAAGAAACATCTCAACCAGCAGAACGGCAAAGGGCAGCATCCATACTTCATTCTCAATCGTCAGCCATCTTGGCTCGCTTGTTGGCGCCCATGTCATCATAGACCATTGTTGGAACAACCCTCTCAGACGGGCCATATCCCACCACCATTGCACCTTGGACGTTGCATCTGTCGAAGCATTTCACATCGAAATCGAATTTCTTCCCATGCTCGAGGTCTTCTATCTTGTTTGCAATCTGGGCAAGATAGAACTGGGTCTTGCAGTCTTCGTGCAGGCGCCGAATATGGGGCAGCTCTTGGCCGTCCTCGTCTCTCCACTCGATCTCCTCTGCCTCTCCAAATTCATCGCGGCAAAACACGTAGGCGACAAAGATGGGACCAGTTGGGTAGCCGTGTCGATTCAGCTTGATAAGAACGCTGTATCCCGTCTCTTCCCATTCCGCGTTCTTAGCAGCCTCCTCTGGAGCCTTGTCTCGAGCCCCAAACCAGCCAAGGCCAGTGCAGGCCATCAATTCTCCCAGCTGGAAAAAAACATCAGGCTCCTTCTCAATGTAGTCGTCACTCGTCGCGCTTCGCATCGAAACGTCCGAGCGCCCTTCCGAGCCCTCATCTGAGCTGAGGCTCTCACGACGACGCTTCTCTGGAGGCGATGGTAGTTGCAAGGACTCTGGCTGGATGTCCGGCTGAGGAGAGTTGATGTCGATAGCGATGACGACTTGATCCAAAAATCTGTCTGCTGGGCCGTTCGGAAGATCGGGATTGGAGGTATCAGGTTGCAAGAAGGTGGGATCAATCGCGACGGCGTATCCTGTCAAACGGCCACCAAAAGAACTCTCGCCAAGTAGCATGTCGGGAGCTCTGCGGGTCTGGAGAGTTAACGACGTGCTGCTGACGGATTCAGGGTCGCGGCAATTGGTTTCTTTGACGATCTCGAGAACGTTTACGGGTGGAAGTGGATGGCACCATCTCCGGAAATGTCTGTCCCCCCATTTGTACATGAAGGCCCAGTATAGATACTCGAGGTTTTCCACATCTGGAAATTGAGCTTGGAGCCCTTCTTCAATGTTTCCGATGGCAAAATCGAGAATGCCGTGGCCGCTCTGCTCCCATTCGTAGAACCGATGCTCAGCAGGAGTGAAGGTCTCGATGATTTGCTCGTCCGTCCAGTCAGGCGGGAGGTAACCTAAAGATACGAATTAATTTCGAACACCAGCACTCCGAAGAGAAACTTGACAAACCTTCTTCCCTCGCAGCGGTGATATCTACTCCCATGACTAATTGATGGTACTCGTAGCGATAGACGCGTATGACTGGTGGCAGCAGCCGCTGTAGAAATGAGTAGACCACCGCAATAATTCTTGCCTAGATTCGAGAAAACAAGGGGAGAGATGATGTGATGTCTCACAGATGAATCTGAGTTGAAAGGAGTGGTATTGCGGTGTTGATGTAGGGCGACAGAGAGGTGAGAAAAGGCTGAGATCCGCGGTGACGTGTTTGTGTGCAGCATTCGCACGTGATTCACGCGTTTCGTTTGGTGCACGAGTAGGCACCTAGGCAACCACGTCCTCACGATGGGGGAATTATACGTACCTAGGTACCTAGGTAGTAGGTAATTGAGAATCTTGCTTGCTGCACTTTGGGAAGGAGTGAATCTGTGGGGTGACAAACGCTCATGATCTGCTTCACTTAGACACCGAGCGCGGCAAATCTTAATGGTCGTCTTGGAACCTTGTGTCTATTAGCACAGTTAAGCATGAGGCAGGATCTATGTCATGTACATCTTCACTTCGTAGATTCTATCTGTTTACTGGGCACCAGGTAGAAGATGTGGGCAGTCTGATATTCGATTTTCACGTAGAACACTCAAAACTGCCTGACATGTTATGTTGCTTATTCTCAGGTCTGCAAACGGTACGATCAGATTATTGAGGGCCAATAATCAAAACACAAGGGACACTGGACAAAGGATTATTAATTTATATTGTTTTACTCTGATTTATTGGTTCTATCACATAAACTGGCTATTATGTTGTTTATTCTCAAGTCTGCGAACGGTACTACTAGACTATTGAGGGCCAATAATAAAACACAAACCAGGGACAAAAGACAAAATATTGCTCATTCGTATCATTTTATACTTCTTTATTGGTTCTATTACTGTAGAAAGTGGTCTGCCTAATCCAGCGTCTTTTGTTTGTGTGCAGCAGCCAAACACGTCTAGGTGCACGTCTGGACCGCGTTTCTCTGTTGTTGTTTTCACCTTTCACTCACACGACCCTACAACAAACCCATTTTCCCCTTCTTCACTTCTTCACTTCAAGTTCTCTTCAGTGCTTCACTCATCTTCATTTTCCCATCTCAAGTTATCTTCTGCTGCACCCTCCCGCGACGCTATCTCTCTCTGCTCAAGCTAGGTTACAAACCAACATCGACTGCTCCCTTGGCCCAAATTCTCAACAGAGACGGCCCCATCACATCACTCCATCTCAATCTGGATCCAAAAAGCCACAAAGTGACCATTGAGAACTTGGTGCAGGGGATTAGACTGCTCTCTTGGCCTCGTCTGCTCCTGCTCCGTCTGCTCCTGCTCCCTCGGCTCCGTCTGATTCATCTGTTCGCTCTGTTCCCTCCGACCTCTATCTCCCTGCAGTCAAGCATCATGGGACCTGTGCCCCCCCCGTCAATTTACTCGACGCACTTTCCGCTCCCGCCCCCGCCAGATCTCGAGTGCCCAACGGACCTGAATAAAAACTTCAAGAGGGCAAATGAGATTGTTACTAGTAACCTTGTTTGCTTGTTTAACCTCATCGCCAGCATCCGTCTTGACGCTGAATCGTTTTGCGCATCCAAATGCTAGGAGAGTTTGGAAACCCAAAACCATGCCGATATACCATACGGACCTCTCCAGTTCTGGGAGTTACTACACCGGTACAGCACCATCGTCAGATCACGGTTTGAATCAGTCTGCGAAATTCTCCAAAGGCGCAAAAACAAACCATTCCGCCTCGTCAATCTAGATAGAAAAAGCGAGAGAGTGACGGTTGAGGACTTGGTGCAGAGGATTGAACGTCACTTGGTGGCAGTATCACGTTTGATTGAGAACATCGGAAAGCAAGTACAGCCCTCTCTTGGCGACCTCGCGTCATCAGTTCCTAACATCTCTCTCCGAGAGTGTCGTCTTTGGTCGATGTTGAACACCAAAGATTTCCACCAGAAGCTCCGTCAGGCAAACGGCGACAAGGCGAAACTTACTCCTATAATGGGAGATGTGGCCGCAATGATTTGTGCCCGAGACGTCATGAAAGAGACAATACCTGTTGTGAAGCTTAGGCACTCCAGTAACATGGTTACACCATATACGATCTTCGTCTGCCTCGGTCAGCAAGAAGACGGGACGCGAGTCCACGACCTGGTACACATTGGCTGCACCAGAGAGTACATGACCCAGTGGGAAGGCCTCTACAAACTACGAGAGGAAGCCAGGAATGATCGTCTCGGACACGCAACTATTCAAGCCTGGGGAGATTGGCACCGCCGGCTTGTCGCGTTCGATAGCGATGCTGGGGCTGGGATGGAGGGCGATGAACGCGAGAAGGCCACTTTGGAGGCTAGAAGAGCTCTCCTACAAGGAGATGCAAACGCACTTCCCGAGTCAGGGAAGAGCCTGCTAGGAGAGAAGCTGCGTGCCTGCAGCACACATCTAGGGCAGGCATTCAAACAACTAGAATGGTTCCAGGTCGAGCCTGTCGCTTGCTGCTACATGTGTAAGACGTCGATGGCTTGGAAGCAAATTGGAGACCCTGACATCTCCTGTTCAGCGGAAATCAAACTAGGAAAACGACAAAAGTGCCCACACTCGTGTGCTGAGGTTGCAGCTAGTGGGTATTGTGACTACATTACCCGTCAAGAAATGTGATCACAATATCCTCCTCAATACTGTGAGATGATGGGTAGTGTGGCCACAATGTCTTGCACAATACTCAAAGGATCTTGTTATTGAGCCATCACAGGTTAATTAGGTAGTCTATCACTATTCCCTCCCCCCCCCCCCCGTTGTGGCTGAGCCGTACTTGGTACGCGTTACCACTAATTTGTATGGATTGGTTACCTGTAAATTACTCAACGCATAGGCGTACAAGCCACGCACTAATGATGCTTTCAGTACAAGTTCGCGATCGCTATTCTATGACCTACTGAAAAAGTGTCTCTTATCCTGAATTCCCCGACTTCATGTTCGTACAGGAGCAGCTGTCACATGACAGTCCTACCAGTATTTTCAACGACCACTACCCCGTTTAACAATTTAAATCGTTGCAGATCGACAGACTTGTACATTCGAATCCCTGTGTGTCCCTGTAAAACTGCAAGTGAGATGAAGCGTTGAGGCAAGTAACTATGTAGGCCGTTAGCTAGCTTCTAGTTGGTAGAGGCTATTATTTACATACCTAGCTTACTGGAGGTTACTGGTTGAGTTGGTAGAGGTAGTTGGTTTGGTCTGGTACATGCTGGCTACGGCTTCATGATACATGCTGTAGGCCGTCAATTGATTTAGCGGAAGCCGTTAATTAGTTGGGCGGAGGCCATCGACTGGCTATGTAGCTTGCTGAACTCCCTGCGCGCTGTTAGGACAAGCGATCGCTGTGCCAAAACCCACGTCGCGCTTCTGCCTCTAGTGGTGCCTCCTTCATGGAGATGGCAAAGAAAGAATGTTAATCCAGTCAAATCGAAAGGCGAGACCACCAACATACGCATAAAGACTTTGGGATCCCCCACTCTAGCCTTTGTTTTTCTTTCTGCATTCTTGGAGCTGATTTCCGCATAGCTTATGATACTTTTAAGCTTGCTAAACGAGTGAAGGATACTCTTTCAATATGGGGAGTTTCTTCTAGATACACTAATCCCAAATTAAATGCCATGATCAACAATACATCCCAGACGCTGATGGATAGCAACAAAAAAAAGAAACAGCGGTCAATACGGAAAGTCATTTGGCTACTTCTCTGCCTCAGCATCCTGCTTTGCCGGCTAGGATATCTTATACGCTCGTCTCAACAGCAAACAGAGAGGTCATGTCTATAGTGATCACTCATCTAGACGAAAGACTGGTTAGGTTTCACTCTGAGAGATTTAAAGAAGCGGTTCCGAGATATGAGATGTCTTAATGATTCACTATCCTGTAGAGGGCTTGTTTCCCTCCATGCTAGATTATGATTTAAAGATGGGATCGCTTTAGGGTTGAACAATGCGCATCCGCGACTTGAACTCTCCCCTGCATGTTTGGCTGCCTGGCCAATATGGGTGTTCAGGCTGGAGCATTTTCCCACCACGCTTTCTTGGATGGCAGGTTGAGTGCTCAATGCAGTATTTGGATCTAAATCAGTCTGTAACTAAGTCAACTTTTAGATGCATTATTTATCTATATGGGGACGGTGACCAGGCATCGCCCTGGAATTAAGGCGGGGCTGAGACGGAACCTCTGTCAAAGCAAAGGACAGCCCGATGATGAAGACCTTTGTTCTAGTCTACACATAACGCTCAATTGACGTCTGGTGGACTGAGGATGGATACATCTTGGCCGTGGGGGCGGGGGCCATCCTGGACTGGGGTCTTTCCGTGTGTAATTACTTACATGGGGGACAAGGGCCATCCCCAGGATGCAGGACAAAGATGATCACGAGATCTACACAAATCAACAAGGTGGGCCAACATGTGCATATCCGCCTCTTCTCTTCATTTACCGTGTCTCTTCCCCTAACTTCCCCCGGGAAAGTTGAAGCCACGTCAGTGGTTCATTGGCTGTTATTGGCCATTCCATGACGCCTCCTAACTTACCGCCATTCTATGTCGCCACACTACTGTACATTTGAAATTGATCACCGGACTTTGAGGGATGGCGGCGATATACCAGGGTAGTACGATTGGTGGGAAGTTTGGATAAATTGTGAACGTTGCCCATCACTTTTGTTTCAAAGACTGTCTGTTCTCATCTATTTCTTATCATCTATATTTTAACCCATCTTCCAATTAGTAATTACTAGGTAGCGGTTCCAAGATGCCCCCCGGTACAGCCCCCAAGCGCTCCTACTCCCGTACAGATGCCGCTGTGCGGGTAGAGTATCCAAAAGATCATGAGCTTCCTGCAAGTCATCCGGTGGATGGGCAGGGAGGCCAGTTTTCAAAGCCAACATTAGCATCGCTCTCTCTGGAGGATAAGGTTATTGTCATTACTGGAGGTGCAAGAGGTCTTGGACTGGTCATGGGCCAGGGTGTTGTTTACTCTGGCGCCTCCCTGGCAATTGTTGACTTGAACAGTAAGTCATGTTTCGCTCTGGTCATCGATTGCCGTCCGCATTCTTCTTTGCTAACCAGCATCATAGAAGAGGACGCCCAGTCTCAGGTCGGGCAGCTCATTGATGCATTTAAGAAAGAGAATCCTGGACGTGACAAGTAAGCAGGCCACATGACCATATCGACATTGATGAAGTAGACGTTTCTCACACGAATGAAATTCGATCCAGGATCCCCAAAGTCACTGCACATTATGCGGATGTCTCCGACCAAGCATCAGTCGACAACTGCGTCGCCGAGATCCTTCGTGAACACGAAAGAATAGATGGCCTGGTCACATCGGCAGGCTTCACGGAGAATTTCGATGCTATCCATTACCCGATTGAGCGCATGCGCAAGCTCTGGGGCGTCAACGTGGATGGTACCTACCTCTTTGCTGTGGCTGTTGCCAAACATCTCATGGAGCGGCAATCCAAGGGCAGCCTTGTATTTATTGGCAGCATGTCCGGTTCGATTGTCAACGTCCCCCAACCCCAAGCGTAAGCCAGCATAAACCCAGAACGTCACTTGCTGAGGAAGGAAACTATGTTATCTAACTCAAACGAATTACGCAGTCCCTACAACGCTGCAAAGGCAGCTGTCCGTCATTTAGCAGCCTCTCTCGCTGTTGAGTGGGCACATGCGAACATTCGAGTCAACTGTATCTCTCCCGGTTACATGCTAACGGCTTTGTAAGTGAAGGCTTAGTTGTTTCATGCGGTCTTGTCTAATCAGCTATTAGGACGCAAAAGATCCTGAACGACAACCCGGACCTGAAAAAGACATGGGAGTCGCTCATTCCTCAGGGAAGGATGGGCAACCCGGAAGATCTTATGGGTCCGGTCACTTTCTTGCTCTCTGACGCATCGTCATATGTAACAGGATCGGATCTTCGGGTGGACGGAGGCTACACTGTTACATAGATGGCAAGGCTTGAATTGACAACGCGGGTTCTTGGATAGAGAGAAGAAGCTGACAGTCCTGCTACGATTCTGTGGGCGAGGACTCCATGGGCAAATAGGAATGATACCATCTACTCTCATCGACTTGTTTTTTATATTTCAGATTGATCGCCAATGATTAATTCTAGTGCTCGTTATTATAGTAGTTGAGATCAATTGGTGGGGAGCGGAATTCCCGTTCGCGGATGGTCATCCTTAACAGAAGTTGACAAAGGGAGAGCCTAACATTCTGGAAGCTTCTCGACAGCCACGAGATGAGTGTGATGCAGTCCCAGTCACCATGTTCCCTACTCAATGTCGAAATTCTGTATGGCTATTAACTCTAGATGAGATCACAATAGCTAGAAGGACATTTTCAGGTGGTTAATATCAAAGAATCTAAAGGGGTGGGAGTAGGAGCATTCGCCGGCTTCAACATATGCTGAGTTTCATTAAGCTTAAATAAAAATTTAGTAAATTACCAGATTATGAATGAATAAAGTTACTGCGCTAGACTAATGAGTGTTGCGGATGAAAGGGGCTCGGGCCAATGCGTCCCGCTGGATCCTCCAAATATCCCTTCCCAATCGCACCAGCTCTGGGCCAAAATTTTCAAACTGAACATATTCCTCTTTCTTTGCGTTCTCAGCGTGACGTAGATAGTCTTCCTTTGTACCAAATGTTGTCATATTCCACATCGTTTTCCACTCAGCGATTGCCCGGATGGCATTGTCGTGCTGGCTTTGCACGTGAGTTGCAACCATGTAAAAGGAGGACCGAGTGCAATGGGATTTCGAGGGCTTGAATAGCTTCACATTGGAGAATGTTGAAAATCTCCGGATCACAGACACCGTCCTGTAGGCCTCGAGCTTGTGGAGAAGAACAACCATTGTTCCAAGCGGCTCAAGGTGTTCTAATCCAAGAACTAATTGCGCAGTATGCAACCTTACTGCCTCTTGGCTCTCTCTATATTCGGGGCGGATATGGGTTCGAAGAACCTGGCCGTCGCACAAAACCAGATCAAATTTCTCTCTTGCTTGGAGTTGTCTTTCGATAAAACCATCGGACTCGGGGTGCGAGGCTGGGATAGTATCCGTTCCCATATCAGCTGCGAGCATGGTGACGTCGAGAAATCTACATTCGACACCCTGAGTCTGGCGTAACAGAACTTGGTGGCCGCCGTTAGAAGTTGGGAGGCTGAATGCTAGAGCCTCAGCACCGGGGACTTTCTGCAATGCCGTGTAGAGATATCCGCCTGGGGCCATGCAGAGATCTAGAATTCGAGGTTTGCGACCGTATGGTGGATTTATCGAAAAGGCGTCCGTGCTAATGTGAAGTTCCTCTGCAATCTGTTTCATCATACGGAAGAACCATTCACTGGTTTTTTTATCCGGGTTGTCGGCATTCTGACGTTGGTTCTTGAAGAAGGTATCACCCTTGGGGTTGTCCCATCCCTGAGATGGAAGTAAGTCTCTAAATTTCGTGGTACTAGAGTGATTCGAAGCGGCTGACCTTGCGACGGAGCTCACTAAGGTCACGGAACTCCGGAACCCTCTCTAAAAGGTACTGTGTAATTAATCTTTCGACTGGTTCCGCAGCACTAAGCTGGTCAAGCTGACTTGAAGCAAAATACTCTGTCATGATCGAAAATTGGGCAGTGTTCACCTGAGTTGGATGTACGAAATGGTGTGTGGTTGAACAAGAAACCGGGCGAAAAAGACTCTTAATATATTCCTTTCCGAGATTTCATACCCCTCATCATATAACGCCATCGAGCACAAGAAGATAACAGATGACGTAAAGGTTGGCCTCCCGCATATGTTTTCTATCATGTAATTGGCTGAGACTTGCATAGAGCCTGAGTGGGAAGAAATGGGGATCAGGTAGAGGCAGCCGAAATGATTTCGTTAAAAGGCCGTTGCTTCATGTAAATCTCATTAAACTATAGAGGGGATCATTGCTAGGTTCCAAAACCTAGCCAACTCAGCTTTTTCATATTTTCTACGAGACCATAGTTGTTAAACAAACTGAGGCGAACATCGTGATCATAATCTACCGCCAGATGATTAGAAGAATAGGATACTCATTTAAATCAAATTTTATGATTTGGGCTTGATTTTTAGCCAACAGCTAGATCATTGTTTATTAAATGATATATTTGCGTTTACAAGATAGAGTTGCTAATACTATATACTTCAACTTCTATATAAAAACCAGTTCTGTATACCACATCCAGAGGTCACTTGGGCGCACCCACTCAACCTTCTCACAGGCGAGCACCTCCTCCGCCATGGCATATTGTTTGGATCTTGTGTATCTTAGCGCTTCCTCCGCTGCCGCCAATAGCTTTGGAGAATCAGGCTCCTCACAAATCAGATGGCCACGAGGCTGTGATTTATATCTGACGATGTTGTCAAAGAGGGCAGCTGCCGTATTCTTGTCTTCCTCTGGGCCCCAACGCCTGATCATATCAGCCAAATCTAGACGCATCCATAGAAGACATAGGTTATTCTGCTCGGGCTCAGTTCGAATCAAGACCGCCATCAGCGTATCCCTGGCCTCGGAATATGAACCATCCGCGGCCAAGAGAAGCCCTTTTAGGTGTGACACCTGACAAGATCGCTGAAAATGGGATGCAAGACACCCGCTTCGTTCCAAGTCTTCAACGCTCTTCCGGGCGTGGTCTCTCATACCAAGCTTGTGATGTAACTTGGCTAAAAGAATTTCTGCGTCTAATCTCGATATGTCATTCAGCGACCGGGACGCGCGAACGACGGGAAGGCTCTCCTCTAGAAGAAATAACGCCGGCTTCGATTGATCCGCGAACATTAGCAAATCTGCCAACCCTATCCGAATGTTGACAGCGAATTCATCGTTTGGCCCCTCGTCCTCAAGCCGTTTCTGCAAGCAATCCTTCCATATCCGCAGTGCAGATTCGACCTCGCCAAGTTGTGCCAAATTCCGCCCATACCATAGCTTAGCAGCGATATATGACCAGCTAGCGGGACCCCGCGTCTTTAAAAACCCTTCCACTGTTGAATGAAATGCTACCAATGAGGCTTCAAAATTGGCCATGAAGTAGTGGCTCTCGCCGCAGTAATGCTGGGCATTTATGAACTGTATGCTCTGCTCCCCGAAGATTTCCTTCTGTAGTGGCACAAGCGCAGAGTAGATATCCAGAGCTTCTTGCATTTTACCGTCCCGGAGGTATGAAAATGCGATAGTAGATTTGCTCCTCAAAATGACTGGGTGAGTAAGGGGCAAGTGCTTCTGCAATATAGATAAAGTAATGGCAAGAAGATCATCATGCTCCCGTATCAATCCAAAGTTCAGGTAGTGGCAACAGAGGCTAATACGAGCAAGGCATTGGTGCAATGGTGTCGAAAGTCTACAGGCTTCCACTAGTTGCAAGTATGAATACTTGTAGCAATGCTCCAAGTCTAACTCGGCTTGCTGACGACTTGGAAGCTCTTGCTTCCACATCTTCAGTCGATCTAGGGGGCCCGTGACCCCTATTAATGTCCCGAAAGCTGCCGTACTATACTCGCACCAGTGGGTGAATTGTGAACTAAGCAAGAATTTCTTGACAGTAGCGATGACTTGGTGGCTCGGTCGTTTGGCCTGGGAAAGATGTTCATGCCAATATTTGGCGGCATAGCTGTAGAGGTCTTGGCCGAGACTGGGTACAGGATCAGCTGAGTACCCTGAAGGATCGTGGTTTCTTGTCAAGTAAGCCAAAATCGCTTGCAGCTCTGCATATTCTTGTCTTTGAAGCACGTTTATGCAAATCTCAGCGATAAAGTTGTGAGGGTGGAAAACGGAACGGCCAAGTGATAGAACTCCAGTGGATTGTCTGGACTCGATGAACTCTCTAGCAGAGGGGTGAGAGAACTGAACACAGTCTCCCTGTACTGAAATGAGAGGCCGACATATGCGGGAAATGATGTCGCCAGGTCGATTTTTCGGAAGCTGCAATGCATCCCTGAGCTCCAGCACGCTGAGAACTCTCTGGGCATGAAGCGTGATGGTGAAGATGTTCTGCTGGCAATTCTTTAGGTCTTCGTCCATCCGAAGTGAAGCTTCATCCAATGCCGCTGAGTAAAACTCTTCAACGGATGGGATTGGGTGATCAAGCCGCTGATGGAAGCTAGTCAAATCTGGTGCATTGGCCAGGTGTTCGAGAAACAGCTTAGCCCACCAGAATGACCCTTGGGAGTGTACTTTGATATGATCCATGGTAGAAAGGTTTTCCGTGGCATACAGACCTAGTTGCTCGTATTCTAAATTCGAAAACTTGATGATGTCAGTCAGTAACAACTCAGATGATAGCTGAATCACTAGCGCGGAGTTCATAATATCATAAAAGTGTGGCTCAGGTCTGGAAAAGATAACAAGTCTTCCCCGAGACATAGAAACAACGTTGTGCAAAGACTGAACAAATTTTCTGGCGAAAACTTGAGAAGAAACATCCTTGTTCAAGCATTCGTCCAGGGCGTCTAAGATCAGAATGCAATCTGGTTCATTTTGGAAGAGGTGCTGGGTTATGCCTAAGAGCTCTTCAAAGGAACATTCTTGTGGCCCGCGAGGGTAACGGTTGGCGAGTTTTGTTACGGGACCTGAAATAGATGGCTCTATGTTCACAGACGTTCCAAGGATCTGCGCCATGATCGACAAGAGGGCCGAAAAGATTGTGTATCGTGGTGCCAACCCAGATCGACGGAATCCGTAGAATATTGTCCTTCTGCCCGATTCATCCAGATAGTGTCGGAGGAAATTAGCCATTGTACTTTTTCCACGGCCTATTTTATCTCAAATTAGTGCCCCCTTGATAATCTGTTTCACAAGGCTTTGCGTTTCTAGGTACCTGGTAATCCTTCAATCCATAGAGCTCTAGGATTCAGCCCAGAAAGCCATTCAGAAAACACGGGATGTTGAGGCAGCCATTCGCAGGTGCCGTCCGCTCGTGACTGGCTAGGGGAAACTTCAGTGACCCCTTTCAAAAGCCATTCCTTTGACTGTTGTAACTGGATCATTTCTGCATCATGATCAGGATCTCCGAAATAATTTGATATTTTGGAATAGGTGGAACACACCAGTTAGTTTGCCCTGAAGCTTCTCGCTGATCGAGGAGGGAAGAGCTTCCAATCGTGCTTGACCATACATATTAACTAATTTGGACCTTCATGGGAGACAGCACAATAAAAGTACCTGTCAAAGTATGTTTCGATGTCTCTGTATCCTTAACGATGTACGATAACTGATCTTGCATCCCTAGTATTATCTCTGTGCCACACAATTAACCTCGTGATCAAATTAGTTTTTTTTGCTTTAATAACGTACTTTCCAGCCGCTGGGTAATGGCAATGTCCCGATCAGTATTTTCTATTATCCGGCAAATATCTGTCTTCATCGTTTGGAACAATTCCAACACTAACATTAACTTAGAATGTTGGCATTGCGGCGGATGGGGGACCGAGGTAAAATACCTTCGCGAGTGGCTAGACAAGTAATGTTAATTAAGGACGTGGACTTCGTGGAGTATGATTTCTTGTATACCCCGAGTGCTGATTTCCTTATCGACCAAATCAGATGCCTCTTTTAAGCTGTTGGCTTTTTGCTGAAATTCGTCTCCCTTGGCATTGAAAACGTTCGCTCCGAGCTTGGCTACGATGTGAATGAGCTAGTCAGAGACCTTCTGCCCTGAATGAAAAAAAAAAAGGGGGGGGGAAGGGCCTCACATAGCTTGCTCCGTTCGTGCCATAGAGTTGCTGATATCAAAAAGTCTAGGATCTTCGTATACAGCGAAATTATCGACTCCCTCACATGATCCGAGTTTAACAAATAAGATATGTTTGCTGTCTGCTCCCAACGGTCCAAATGAACTAATATCTGAAGAATCCCTTCCCCAGCAATAGAGGAAGCCTTTTCCGTCTCTTCGATAATCTACATGGATGAGAAAGGTCCTCATCGTCCACTTGATCAGGTACAAACTTACCTGAAGAACCTTCCTCAGTGATCCTAAGATCAAGTTTCCCATTTGGGGATTGAATTGGGTAAAAATGTTAATAGCATTGGCATGCCCATTAAGTAACCGAAGTATCTTCTGAACAGAGGTGCCGAATGGACCCTGATCCTTGTTCAAACCATTGGATACCTGGTATGCAGCAACTGCAAGAGAGTTGACGTCTATCTCATCAAATCCAGTATCTTCGATGTTGATGAATCTTTTGTCTGCAGCCCCCTTTTCAAGAGAGTCATTGTGTTGCTTTCATTATATCAACTTAGTTAGTTGAGACTATATTGCATGAATGGATTCTTCCATACGACGTACCTTTACGGCATCCTTCCATAGCAGAACACCCATCCGTTGGACGCTGCTCATCTTAACGATTGACATTATGGGTAGCTAGGTGTAATCATGAGCATGCATCCGGTTTTTCCTCGACTGATGTTGCACAGACCCTAATAGACATATTATACCCCATACAAAGCATTAATGGATGCCAACTCACACAAGTGTGGAGTTCCTTTCTATACCACGCTTGTGCAAATTAATGCGTCTATTGTTGCTGCCTCACGCCGTGGCCGCCTCACGCCTTGCAGATTGCGAAGGGTTGCTAGCATCCTACTTGCAACTCTCGCTATGGTTGACATCTTTGGTAAAGTGGAACCTTCCCGATCAGGGACAAAACGATTGCAGTTTACAGGTGCCACGTCGACAGCCGTTTCGGTGCGTGCTGCAAGAAACCTCGCCACCACAGCTTAACCAGTCCTCGGTTTCGATGCCCCGGGACCGCTGATATGGAAGGCTAGAGCACGTGGCCCATGATCCATATCACCTCCATGTACTTCTGCACCCATTTATTTATTGCGCGCAATTCCTTTGCGTCCCAAAGCGGTCACCTTGGTTCTGCACTACACGAGTTACAGCATTCGGGTGGTTATAGGCAGGGTCATCCTCCCTGTTGTCGGTTCTCAATCATCGATCACCTATGATGAAAGATGTATCATACCGCATTGAACGATATGGAATTACTACAGGGTGATGTGAGACCAGCTCTTGGGCCAGATAGTCCCAAGCCAATACCTCCTGACCCATATCCACGCCCTGACCCAGACCCTCCGGGCCCTCACCCAGATGTAAGTTGACCGTTCAGTGAGCGTGTATTATGTCCCTATATCTTACCAAGATCAAGTGTCGTTCAGCTACATGCTACATCGGCCTAGGCAACATTAAGTCGGAATTTCCTAACCTCACGGTTCTGCCTCGCCCGGAGCCTAGCCAAGACAGTGTAGCCGAACACGCTCTCTGGGAGGCCGAATTCGAGCAATGGGGCGGCCTTCAATGCGGCTGTGGAAATGGATATTTTTGCCGTGAGCATGGAGACTGGATCTCAGGTGGCGAGGTTCTGCACGGGCATGCATTACCCCGTGGCGATCAGAAGAATGGGCGCTGCCCAACGCATCACTATCAAGGTATGATGGGCACAATCTCCATGCTGTACTGACTTCTGATGGGAATTAAAGCTAAATAATCTCACGTGTTAGGCCCTGAAGGTAGAGACAGCTACGTTGGCCAGAGGGACGGGGCTAGGCCTTGACTGAAGTGCAGTAGGCAGTGTTACGAGGATTGAAAATATGTGTCTCTTCTTTTCTTTGTACGGCAGATGCCTATGTGCCTTCTCTCAGTCTCATCAGCCAAGCCTTTAGTGCTTACGGACCCAAAGCAACAGTGCAAGAATCGAGTGAGAAAATTTATTGATTGGCTGAATTAGGTCATGAGACCATGCTGAGAGACCACTATGTATGCAGGTATCAAGCCTTATTCACACCTGGGTAGTATCCAGCATATACCGGTGCCACGAGATTGTCTATCATTCCCTGAACAGCTATTGCGGTGGTTGGTCACTTGGTCTCAGAATCACACATTGTGCCGGGGTGCTCCCAACCATTCTCTTATGAGGCGCAGATGTGGTTCGCAAAGCAGTGTTATAAGCAAGATAAAAGTTTGACGTAGCCCCCAAGTAAATACCGAATATGAGTCATTCATTGCCTATGTTTTGGGAGGCTCCAGCAATATCGGAGTTGTGGTCGTACGAGGGTAGAAGCCATATATCGCGTATAAGGGTATTTTTATTCAACAATCAAGGTTGATTTTCGTGTACCAGCCTCGAGATACTGAGACACACCTATTCTAGTAGAGGGGATTTAGCATCATCTCGCCTCCGCCCCTGCTTCCGCTTGCATCTCCGCATGTTCAGGCTCGAAATAAATGAATAGAACGTGGTCCGCCTACAATGATAATGGAGAAGGGTTTCCCGATCCCGTCGCAGCCACCTCCAAGGGGGCGGCGTGCTCCCTCGAGAAGAATTTCCCTCCACACCGCTCTACTGATAGCCACCACAATTGCGGCCAGCTACTCCATTTGGGTACGGTTGCGGACTCATACATTGCCTTGTCATAGTCTGGCTCGGGCTCTAGGGACGGAGCCGCCTCAGTTATACTCTCCATATGGTCAATTCCCAGTCCAAAGTGACCCTTTCCAGTTCATCCCTTGCACCGACACCTCCCTGCTGCCCTCCCTGGACGACACCAACCCGCGTCAATCATGGGCTGCCTCGTTCGACCCCGACCCTTCACACTGGAGCTGGGGCACGCCGAGCCAAGACAAGGGCGATGTTGACGGCCAGGGAGACACTCATGCTAACCGTGGCATATACCTATGCGGGTATCTCGACCTGCCACTAAACGCGTTGAATGACTCGGACAATCGCATTGTGCGGATTGCCATCACTAAGTACCAAGTGTCAGGCCTTGTACCCGTGAGCCGCCAAGCTGGGATACTCAATGATGCGAACGCACCTGCAGAGCGCAAGTCAGAACGGACAATCATCATCGAGCCAGGCGGCCCTGGTGCCAGTGGGACTGGCGAGCTCTGGCACCTCGGTGAAGTAATTTCCAAGCGATATAGCAACGGCCAGTACGACGTGCTGGGCTGGGACCCTCGCGGCGTCAACGCTTCCCTTCCCTCATTCTCATGCTATCCACACGATGCCTTTCGGGATCGATGGTCCTTCTTCAAGAGTCAGTATCGGGCGGAAGTGGCCTCGCCCATGCAGCATCTTAAGATGTATGATGCCATGAACAATGCAACATTTTACGCTTGCCACCAAATACATGGTGACTTTGGCCGCTTTGTTGACACGACTTTCTCCGCACGAGACTTGGAGGAGATTCGTAGAAATCTCGACGAAGATGAAGTTACCGGCTACTTTGTCAGCTATGGAGCAGCCATCGGTGTCGTCTATGCCAATCTGTTCCCAGATAGGGTCGGGCGAATACTCTTAGACGCAACTCAATACGTCAGAGACCAACGGAAACTCGGAGGGTATGCCTCATCCTCGCTTTATAACGTAGTCGACACCTGGCGTGACGGATTCCTGAGAGAATGCCTCGAGGCAGGGCCCGATCACTGCGCGCTTGCCACGCCGGTTCCCGAGTTAGCAGGGCCTCCTACAGTCAAGGAGCTTGAAGTTCGAATGCAGCTTCTCTTCAAGTCTTTGATTGAGCAACCTCTGTCCGGGTACTCGCCGATTTCTGGGCCGGCTATTGTTACTTACTCACAAGTCGTCTTCTGGATCTATATATGCATGTATGAGCCAAAGCGATGGCCGCTCACTGCTCAGATTCTGCACGAGTTAGAGGCTGGCGATGCTACGCTAGCAATATCCAACTTCGAGGGACGCTGGTATAACAACACATATACAGGACGTAAGGAGTCCTCAGAAGAATTGTTCTTCATGGTTGTATGCGCCGACGCGTTCGACGACCCCCCGCCTCAGGACGGCCTTGGCTGGTGGGATGAATTCTGGGCAAATGCCTCGGATCATTCATGGATTGCGGGCAGCTTCCGGTTCACGGAGGTTTTCGCCTGCCGGCACTATCAGACCTACTGGCCTGACCCGCCAGGAGTGTACCGGGGCGATCTAAATCACACATTGAGCAATCGGGTCCTGGTCATCTCAGGCACGCATGATCCTGCGACCCCCCTGAAGAATGGCCTAGATCTGGTGGCGGAGATGGGTGACAATGCTCGGTTAATTGTTCACCATGGATATGGACATGGTTCCAGTTCAGATCCATCAGATTGCACCGATGGCCTTGGGAGGGACTACATTCTCCATGGCACTCTACCAAAGGAGGAAGAGACACACTGCTTCCCGAATCACAAACCATATATGTATGGCGCTGGGGTCTCCTAGAAAAGCACCCCTGGCAGGCCGGCTAAAATCTCACACGTCCACTTTCTGATTGCAACCTGCCGCAAAGATAACTTCAACTGGGTGAAGCATTTGAGGTCGGCTTCCGCTCGGTGAGATGCTCATGGAGCCAGCTGGCTAAGACATAATTGACTGTCGCATGTAGAGCATGTAGAGCATGAACGGAGTGACATGTTACATACATGCGCAGAAAATTTCGAATCATTCAGAAATGTCAGTCGCGGTTATTAAAGCTTCGCTAAGATATATCGCTGTTGCCTTGAAATAAATGTCATTGGGCTTCACCGCAGATGTGAAGTGTCAACATGAAAGAATACTAAGGCGGGGCAAGTTGAATAATCCCATTTGTTGCACAGGTTATAATATATAAGCATAGCTCTATTAGTATTAGAATAGTTCTCTAATAATGCATTAAAAAAGTTACTTCTTTAGACCTGCGAGGATCTCCTGGACGTTGGCAAACTTGAATTCCTCCATGGTCTCCTTCCACAAGCGTTCCGCGACCTTTTCTCCGCTAGATGTATAAACAAACGGCGCCATACTAGATGCATTAACGTCAGTTTCACCATGATCGAAGTAGAAAAAGTGTAGGGGATCGGGGAACATACGGTTTTACACGCTGCTGTGACAGATACTGCCCATGTGACTCTGAGCCGTGCTTGACGGCGGCATCAGTAATGTGGCGGGCCCCTACCGAGGAGGTATAGCCGATCCTGCGTTGGAACATAGCGACAGTCTTGCCTAAAACACCAACTGCAGCGTCTCGATCGAGCTCCGAGTCATGCACCATGCCCGGGGTTGCGACATTGATGACGGCAACGGATGCAGGAACAAGAGGCTCTAGCTTGTGAAGGAAGAGCTGGTAGAGCAGCTTGGTCACGAAGTGCCGGTCGGTAAAGTTCCAACCGTCCGGCTTGTCGAGCGCAGGTAGGAGTGGATCGTTATCCTGCTCTGCGAACTTCGTCCAGGCTGCGACATCGGATCCTGTAACAGTGATACGGGCGGGCTGGCTTTCAGGTTTGTCCTTGATGACGGCGGCCATGAGTATGGTCAGCAAAGCCGTGCCGAGGTAGTTGACCTGGACGGACTCGTCGTGGCCCGTCTTTGGGTTGAGAGTCTGCTTGACGGGCATCATAGCGGCGTTGAGGACAACAATATCGATTCGCTCGAGTGATCTTGTACGTTCGGTAAACGCGATTATTGAGTCGTACGACGAATAGTCGAGGAGCCATACCTCGATGGCACTTTCGGGGAGAGACCTGCCGTTGGAGAGTTCGGAGACGGCGGCGTTGCCTTTTTTTTCGTTGCGTACGGCGAGGATGAGCTTGGTGAGGCCCAGGTCGAGGAGTTGGCGGCAGGTCTCGAGGCCAATACCTGAGCTGGAGCCGGTGACGATGGCTGTCTTTCCATCGAGTTTGACGCCAGCTACGATGGACGGGGTGTAAAACAGTTGGCGCTTGATATAGCTTGAGGTGCTGCCCTCGTCGGACGGGGACACGTCGAATTTGGGGTTGCTCGTCATTATCTCGTGTAAATTGCGAAGGTTTCTCTCTGCGTTTGACTGAAAAGGGGCGAAATAGGACGAGGTTGAAGCCTGATATAGAAAGGAGCTCCGCAGGTAGATCAAGATAAAAGATAAAAAACATCAAGCTCAGAGCTATAGAAGATATTATATAAAATATTGACAGGATATATCGGATTAATGGTTACTGACTGGCAGAAAACGACTAATAAAGGAGCGCAGTCCACGACTTGCAGTCAGTGTTGAATCATTCACCATGACTGACCCCAGTCCTTCGCCATATTTGGCGGGCCAATTCAACTCCGCTTACCTAGCGAATTCCAGTCTTGGAAGTGCAGACGTCATCTCCGCCTCCTTAGACCTTTGACACGGCAGTTCCACGAGGTAAGCTTCTGCTCGGGGGGATCTCGTTATGATATTGCCCCCAAAGTGGAGACTTTTTATATCTGAGAACTGAAAGAATGGCAACCAAGCCTTGTCTTTCTACGGGGAATAGATCTTTAATTTTATTAAAACATCTTCCCGCTCTATAATTGATAGATTGACATGAACCAGGTTCCTGTATCTTACCACTTCCAGGAAACGCTCGGTGCCTGGGTTCTATGATCTATCCCCAGCGGAATTTCCATAGTCATTCTTACTAGCCGCTTCCAGGCAATGCCAAGAATATGAAAGTCCGCTCAGTCGAAGAGGCCCACTGTGGAGCCTGGGCTTCCTGAAATAACAACAGCTCAGGCCTGGGGTGGTCATGGCACTAGGTGAATTCCTTCTCCTCAGTAGTAGAGGAGAATAAAGAAAAGGCTACCTTAGACGAGGGCTTCTTGATCCTTACTCTTAGAGCCATTCTGCACTAGGTACTTATCATATATGGATAATTTAGAGGTCTCTCTAATTTCATATTGCAATAATAAGAAGCACATAATATAAATTGGAATAATCAGTCACCTCACAATTTCCATTTTATTCATAGGCAAAGCTGAATTAATTCTGATATGACTAGCCCCTGTATCCTCACTTGATTCAAGCCTATGGTAAACCAGACAGCGATGTCTTGGTTTCATATATCTGACAGTAAGCCCACATTGCCCTGGACCAAGATAAGAGCTGCTTAAATCCATCCATCTGTTTGGATGAGATGCGGTGCCAGCCAAATCAATAACCAATTATCGTCCCCTTTTCATCCTCGGGAACTTTGAGCTACAATCAGCGGCGGTTTCAATATCTAACTATTAATGCAACTACATAATTAAGTTATCAGGAACATTGAGAATATTAAACTCGCCAAGCCTTGGCTATCAAGAGTGGTACTAAAGAAGGAAACCCATTCATAAAAGACTTGAACCGTGAGCAAGCACGTCTTACCATGGGAGATAGTTGAAGCAATCATGGCCGGCAAGGGTGAGTCTACCACGGTCTGTATTACTTCACGCCAGAGAACAACAAAGAGGGAGCGTTAATTTGGTTTAAACCGTCACGGTAAGAACACAGTGGCGTAGTACCCAATCACAACGTATCCTACATCCGAGTAGTACATCGATTCAGAGTTGATTCAAAGCTATGTCAGTGTCCAATCTCGTAGGTACCATTTATTTCGTGGCTATCGCCCGCCTGTAATGCAGCCACCTGTGTCACAAGTCCGTAAAAGTAAGTCATCGAGCGAAATAATTTTATTAAATAGCGAGCTCTAACGGTAGAGTATTTGTTTGCTCCCTTTCGTGCCGCTCGTTGTACTCCTCAACCACTTATTCACTTCCACCCTCCCTTCGTTTGACGGCTTTTCCTTTGTTTATGGTACAGTCGCCACGCGTCACTCCCTCTCTTCAAACACGAGAAAAAAACGCGTAAAGGGGCAATCCTCGGTTGTGATTCGCCAGGTCACATGTAATATCCTTCCTCTTTTTCAGCTACATCCGCCGCTAGAATTCCCGAGGACCACCCCCCCTTTTTCGATACTTCTATGACCTACCGCAGCGATGCCCTCGAGGAAGCAGAAGCAATCCGAGCGACCAGTTTTGGCCCGCGGCTGTCCTACAGTCGAGTCGACCACCGCAACCGATCGCAGTCCCCAAAACAAGCCCAATTCCAGAGTCCGAAAGCATCGCGCCGCCCCTAACCCAAACCCCAGGCCAAAGACTCGATCAAGGGCACGGGCTGAGGTAAATGTGATCCAATAACTTCCCGAAACCGCCGATAAAGCACCTACGAGCACAAGTCGCAACGAACATCTGAATATTCCCGACAATTCACAGGCTGCTGCCATCTCTCCCCTTGCTCGTGTACCGGAGGCAGCAATCGCTGGAGACAAGAGCCCATGCAGTCTAGCCTCCAGACGAGGGTGATACCGCGCGTGATGATTCAATTGCGCTGCAGCCGTCCAATATAAAAACTGAAGCGCCCGGCCACCCGCCTGATGCTGTTCCGCAGGCAGCTGGGGTGCGAGATATTGCCTAGTCCAGAAGGCTGCCGAAATCAGAGATGAATTCACCGCCCATGTATCCAACAACGAGGCCGAGACCAAAAGATACCATGGAACCCCTTTGATAACGACCGTATGTTCCATATCTTCTGAGGAATGTGGGATGGACTCAAAAACAATGTCGGCATATTCATGTCGATTGCTTCTCCTTGCATCGCCAAGACCAAGATCGAACGGCAATGCCTGGACATCAGCACCAAGGCCAATCTTTGGCTCTGACTCCAAAGGCAGAGAGGTATTTTGAAACGACCTCGGTGCCGCCGATCCCCTGTTCGATGCTTCGGTCTGGCAATTGCTCGTTAAGAATATTTCCTCCCCCGATTGTGTTGACAAATGGTCAGGCCCGGAATCGGCTGCCTCTAGTAAACTTAGCTGGGCATCCCGAGGTGACAAAGTTGACGACTTTTCATATTATTTTCGCGATTGAAACTGACTGACCCTTTCGCTCTAGTAGATGTAACGAAGACCGATAGCCACTTCAACTTTCATTTCCATAGGGCGAGGGAGCCCATGGCGCGGATGCTGTACATGGGATGCGGTTCGCACGTACGTCAACAGAGACTGGCCCAAGGAGACCATTTGGGCTGAGGCCGCGCTTATCACTCGACACAGAGAACGACCTTTTGGCGAGTCGTCGCAACTCACTGCGGCGCGGCTTGAGAGTCGCTTGGTGAGATGATTGAGCTCGCAGTAGGTATCGACCTTAAAATTGTAGGATGTCGATATGAGGTGGTGATGGAGATACACCCCGTGACTGGAGTGAAGGGTGTTGTGATGTAGGGTTGTGTGAGTGAAAAGTGATAACAACATGAAGACGAGGTCCAGATAAAAACCCAGACGTGTAGGTATGGCCACATGAATGTAAAAGAGGTAGCAAGTTGGTGATAGAATCAAAGGGTAATGAAAGTAGATTACTTTTGAAGATAGTATAATTTATAAAGAAGTATAAAATAATGTAAATTTATAATCTTCCATATATAGTCCCTTAGCCTTTTACTTATTTCTGATCAGGGCTTAGTCTTCATTTCTAAGTGTATATTTTATTACTCTATTATGAACTCAATTATATTTTTCTTTTTCAATGTTGTAATTTGCCCGGATGCTTCGTTAATATACTCCTACAAGGGTTTGCTGTTGCCATTTCATCGTCAAAGTATCCCTGGACGGCATATTTGGCAAAAAGACGCCTTGTTCCTCCACAGCACCCAAGACCCTCAGCGCTTTCTCCTGAAGGGCCGAAGTGGCCGCCTCGCAAGCGGCGGTTGAAACCGCCCAGGCGATGCAGGGCGTGAGGTCCTGGTCGTTGATGCGTGCGATGCAGGGTTCCAGGTAGTCCAGCGCCTTCTCGACGATGCTCTGTATCACCATGCGGCTGACTTTGGCCACCTTCCTATAGTAGTAGATGATGATAGCCTGATGAAGGCCCTGGGCGAGAGCTTTCGCGTCTGGGTTGTCCAGGAGGTCCTGCGTCGCCTCGGTGGCAGCCGAGGAAGTCGAAGGCCTTTGCTGTGGCCCGAAGAGATGGGCCGTCGGGGTCCACGCCCACATGGTCTTCTCCAGCTTTTCTACATGTTTCCGGAGCGCATTGGTAAGGCCCAGGTCGGGCGGATCGAGCGCTTCGATCCGCGCCTTCTCGCGTGCGGTGGCGACCGTCTGAGAGAGTAGCGTCCAGAGTAGTTCTGGAAAGCCGTAGATGACGGGGTAGAGCGACTTATGCCACTGTCCCTGCACCTGCAGGTGGATATCTGTGTAGCCAAGGTCTGGCGTCTTGACTTCTTCGGAATCAAGCCCGACATCGTAGCACTCAGTAGCGAGGCAGAACATGCCATTCTTTTCTGGCGGTTCGTTAAATTCCCTCCTTGGGTCATCCGTGGGAGCTTGTAAGCGTATGCCAATGCTCTCCGAAGTGACACGAAGGTAGCTGTACATGTGGTGCAGAAGACGTGCATCCATGGGTATATCTTGATCAGCAAGGCCCTGGCGGTGAATCAACCTCTCCGCGTCAAGGAGAAAGAGCCCAAACGAGTCAGTGTTGCCCCTCGACAACTGTGAGGGTAGAGAAGAAAAAGGGCCAATTAGCTTCCTGAACTAATGAATAGAAAGGGTAGAGTCGAATGGCAACAGAGGGGCGCAACTTACTGATATCATGGACACGGCAAGAATAGCCATGAGAAGTTCCTTGTATCTAGCCTGCTCAAGTCCTGTCATCTCTGTTGCAAGAGCGGAGCGTAGGTGATGCTGCGCACCTTGCTGATAGCAACATCCAACTTCATACCATGACTTGCCACCAACACCATTGCTATCATCATTCCGCGACCAGCGGTTGAAGGAGCTCAAAGCCAATAAAGCATAAAGGAGAGCATAGCGGGTCTTGGTAGTCGTTCGCCAGAGTGACAGTTCTGCAAAGGTTTCAAGAGCGCAGGGGAAGAATATGGATTGCCACGGCGAGGCCTTCTTGGCCTGCAGAAAGCGCCCCTCATATATCTGCTGCCGATAATAGCGTATCAGGGGCTCTGAATGGGGCGGGAGTATAGTCTCGGCTGCAGGCGTGAGGTCGGGGGCGATAATGGAGAGTCGTCTCGTGGCATTATCCTCACCATGCCAGATGCGGCCGGGGCTGGCGTCGGGGCTGGCTGCTGCTAGGTGGTTGTCTACAACAACACTGGAGGTTTCCATGGATATATTAGTCGTATCAAGTAAGGACTCATCTAAGGGGATAGGAGGGAGCATAGACCCAGATGAGCCCTGCATTGTTGGTGGGGCAAGAAATGGGTCGAACACAGAGTCTTCAAAACTATCAAACCAATCGTTGAGATTGGCAGCCGAGTCAAATGACGGGAAGAGCGCCGACCCTGGCTCTAGTTCTGCCATATTGGATGCGTACTCGTTGAGACCAAAAGAGTCTCTTTCAGACATAATTTCTTTTGCATCCGCAGCCGCCGGGTGCACATCTCCCTGGGAAGACTGGCTAGAAGCTCCTCCAGTTTCAAGAGTAACATGAGCGGGGGGCGAGTCTTCGTCATCGTAGCGGATATCACATGAGAAGGCACTAAAGGGCCCCCTGGTCAACCCCTGGACAGACCGGCCTCGGGTCTCCAATCTCTGGCAGGAAGAGTCGAGGCGATCTAAGAGTTCAACAACGGACTTGCAACCAAGACTGCGAGAAATCTCGACACTCATCTGCCGGCGCTGAGTTTCTAAGTGGAAAAGGTAGCTGTTAGGGCACCAGGGTTCAAAAGATGGAAATCAATGCTACGTCAATCCCTTTGTGACTTACCTGAAAAGAAAGGGTATCGAAACTCGTGGCTCCGGTCAGCCCGGGGCCGACCCGTCGGGCTTTGGCTGATCCAAAGCAAGGGGGACCAATAGCCGCTACACTCGTGGCCGCCTCGCCTGCATTGTCCACATGACGGGCGAGCCTCATCGCACTTGATGTGCCGATTACGGCATGTCTTGCATCCTTGGAATGTCCTCTTGCGTCCTCTCTTCTCCATAAGGGTCAAATGTCCAACTTGGGGTAGATAGAGAATTCGGAGAGACGTCAAAAGATGGCTCTGACTTCCCAAACTAGTTTAGTTAGTCAATCCCGATGAGCAAGAGAACCGAACACGGTCTGTGAGGGAAATGGCGGCGGGTGACAGGGCAGTAGTATACGCAGTTGCACAAAGACGATGTTGGAGAAGGGGATTCGCAGTGGTTCTATACCCTCATCTGAAAAGGGAATTTATCTGCGAAGACACCATATAATTTCTGCCTTATGGCCTGGTGGGCCTACCCATTACTTGTTACACACCCGCCGTATGGTGTGTGTGGATGGCCAAATCTAGATTCATTGGAGCCCGCCCCGGGGATAAGGGGTTTCACTTAGATGAGCAAACAACTTCTTGATTCGTTCAGGAAGACATGACCAATTGATTTTGGGTTGGTCTGCATTAGTCCATTGTGGAGAGGAAGTGTGTATCTGGCTCTCGTGAACAAATTATTTAAATGGAAAACATCACCAGCAATGTAGCAACTAGCTTCGAGCACCATTGCTTTATACCTATTCCTCGACTTTCACTCCATATTCCTCGACTTTCACTTCTGCTTCTTCTCAATCTGCACAAATATCCCAGGAAACAGACAAAATGCCTATCCCTATCCAGCAGCCGAAGTACACCAAGCCTGAGGACTCTGAGGAGGTCCGTCAGCAGGTTGCCAAGAGCCACCAGGCCATGCGAAACATCACCTCTGACCGTGTTGACCGACGTGAGTCTTCACAAGCATAAAATGCCCACGTGCATGTACATATACTAATATTCTAACTTGATAGCGATTGGTCCTTACGTGAGTATATTCACATCTTAGCTACGCAACTGCTCCTTGAAGGTTCCAGAACTGACATGTACTCTAGTCCCACGGTATGGTTACCACTGTTCAGCCTCTCAGCGGTCTTGTCTTCCTCTGTGGCCAGTGCCCCGTGTTCCCCGATGGCACTGTCCTCGAAGGGACCGTCGAGGAGAAGACTAGGCTCGTGTGTGAGAACGCCAAGAACGCCCTGGAGGCCGCTGGCACGTCTCTTGACAAGGTCGTTAAGGTCACTGTACGTACTTTTTGGCCTACCCCCTTGTTTTACTATCTACCAGCATCATCAATGATGAATTAACGCCGAAACCTAGATGTTCTTCACCGATATCGCCGACTACGACGAGTCCAACTCTGTTTACATCAAGTACTTCCCTCACATCCCTGCTAGAAGTGCTATGGAGGTTTCAAAGATCCCTCCTCGTGGAACCACCCTCCAGATGGATGTCATTGCTCTTCAATAGATAGAATATGTAAAAATTATGAAGTTAACCTTAGGCGGTAGCATAGAAAGTTAACTGCTAGGATATCTAGCCACTCAAGCTAGTGACATTTTCACACTTCCTCATTTTCACACAGCCATATATTCCATGCTCAGTCATCATAAAAAATTTGGTAATTACAACGCTCCATACTAATCGGGTGATGCGCTGTTGGCGTGATCTCTTACATTTCGTCGTGGTTTTTAACGGTTTCATATACTTTCCACCATGCACTAATACAACTGTCCCTGTTCTTTGAATGGATGATACATCTTGCAGGGTGACGTGGTCACCGTGGGGACAATACACGCGTCTATGACAACTTTCGGTTCAAGAACATTCAAATACTTTTTTATACTTGATGACAACAGGACTACTCTATCACAACATACATGAGTATCAAGTGTTAATATTGAATAGCTATTGAAATATACAAATCAAGTCTGGACCATGAATTGTGCCCATTCTACAGCAATGCTGAAGCAAGATGTCCCAGTACTCTTGGTCCCAAGATGAAAATTTCCAGAATACGCCTACCGCACTCCTCTCAGAGCTTAGAAAGTACGCCACTGGGGAGCAAAACCGATAGATGGCTCGCTTTAATGTCCTTGATTGTACGACACCTGGATATTTCCATCACGCGTTAGCTGCAAGTCACAGACGTGATGGGACGTCTTTTCTTGAAAAATACGCACCCGCAGAGCATCATGGTTTGTTTGAGCTCCTTCAACAACAGCTTGACCGCAAAGTCAACTCCCTCTTCTCCTTTGTACTGTGTAAGATGTGGGTTAGCAAATCGACGAGAGGCATACAATGGGGATCGTTGTGGTTGTGTGTCTCGTACCGCGAGGCCCCATACGCAGACCCGGCCGAGGAAACAAAAGTCTGCCCCTAATGCAATCGCCTTGAATATGTCACTTCCATGACGGATGCCGCCATCGAATCCGATGGGAATCCTGCCGCGCCCGACAGCCGCACACTCTCGGAGGGCATCGAGCGTGGAAGGAACGCCATCGAGCTGTCGGCCGCCATGGTTGGAAATGATGACGCCGTCCAAGTTGTATCGGATCGCGAGCTCAACGTCGTCGGAGGTGTAGACTGCGTTCGCAAAAGGTCAGCGATGTGCTTGAGAGGAAAAGCCTGCCCGTGAAAATGCACACAAATAGTGTCTGAACCGTGGAGAGCACATACTTCCTTTTAGCCAAATTCGCATCTCTGTTCGCGCGCGCAGCCAAGCAATTTCCTTTTCCCATGTGATTCGGGGGTCTAGTATGAATAGATAGGTAGGTTAGGTGATCGACCCTGCATGTGGCTGAAAACGGGGACACATACTGTAGTCGAGGTCATCCAAAGTCACCTCGCGTTCGCCTTTGGGGTCTTGAAGATTCGGGAATGTGACATGTGGAGGGAATTCGAATTTGCTTCGGTGTTCTTGTAAGCGCGTTCCGAGGATCGGGAGGTCGACACTGACGAAGAGCGCCTTATAGCCAGCCGCTGGGGGTACACTATCAGTTCATGATTAGGAAAGGGGGAGGAGGGAACGGTTTGGCGTGCCTTCAGCGCGTTTGATGATCATTTCGGAAACGCTCAAGTCCTTAAATAGGGTCATCTGCATAATGTAGGGGTTGCCGCTTCCTTGAGCAATGACATCTTCGAGGCTCGTCGATGAGTAGGAGGAGAGCGCCATTGGAATGCCATTGGCCGCCGCGGCTCGGGATGTCGCTACTTCGCCGTCGGGATGAGCCAGCTTATGTGCGGCAGAGGGAGAGAAACCAAAAGGACCGGCGGTCTGCGAAAACCAATCATCAGCATGCGTTAGCATTTCCATCTTGGATAATGTTGTTACTTCCCCATTTCATTACTGACCTTGATACCGAAGAGACTCCACGTCACATCCACATCGCCAACATCTTTGAGAACTCGTGGTCTGAGCTTGTACCGAGCAAAAGCGTCCACATTGTCTCGGACACTGCGCTACTGTCAGTCATAGAATATGATGAAGAAAAGGGAGGTAAACTCACGTAGCCTCCTCTCCGGCTCCTCCGCTGAAGTATTCTGGCAGTTTTCATTCACGTGTAAGTAAGGGATCGCGGAGGCACAGAGCGAAGCGGAGACGGTATGGGGAGATAGTAGCTGACCATTATAAATCTGGGGCACCCGCTTTGCACCTACCGCAGCCAGATCCTTCACAGTCAGAATATCAGAGTCCTCGGCGCTAGTTCTAAATTTGTTTTCATCATGTCAGTAGAAGTAACTGCTGAGGAATTCCCGTGCGACTTTACCTAGCGAAGCGAAGTCGACTTCGTTCCGTGGAGGCAGACATAATGTGTATGAAGGACAACACTGTGGGCATCAAGACCAATAAGTGTTGTGATGATGGTGATTGGTGAATGATCGCGCTGAACTAGCTTTTGCTTTGTTAAAAAGTAAAAGCCGTGACGCTCTGATATCAGGCGGCTCCTGCTGTGGGTGTGTCTATAGGATGATAAGTTGTGGGGAACATAACTCGGCATCTGACGATTCTCCGTTTCCCTGAAGCAGCATCGATAATGTCCTTACCGTATTGGAATTGGAAGTTGTTCGCGAATGGAGCGAGCCCCGTATTGGCTGGTGCCGTGAACTGTCTCCACATTCCTCCACCCTTATTCCCCGTTCCTGTATCGTCACGAGACTAGTCACAGCCGAAAAGAGTTATGGCGAGAAGGAGCGGCACCAGGTTCCGTTTATCAGTGGTGATTCTTTTCTCTACCTATTTGTAACCGATAGGTAGATTCCCCGCCCTGGAGAAAAAGCCCTTATCATGGGTGGGTTTTCGGACGCTGATGACTACCGTGTGCTGCCTAACCAGGACGCCAAGATGGATATTTTCCGTCATGTCAATACCATGACCAAGGGTAAATTTTCTTGGGTTGACCTGAATAAGCGTGTTTTCAAGGACGTGGTTGGCTTCCGACCAGCGAGAAAGGGCGCGTTCGTATGGAGAGAAAGGGCAAGGTGGGAGATCTAGTGCACCAGAAGGAGTCCAAGCTGTACAAAGATTAAATATTAATATGGTAGAGTAAACTATCGGTATATGCATTAGAAAGAAATCATACTTTTGCTCAAACACATTAGTGCACGTATCACCTTCCAACCTGCAGAGGCTTAGGAAAACATAGCTAAGGCATCTGAGGTGTAAAGAATAAGGGGCTTAATCGTCAACCTCATTCTAGGAGAGCTGATTTAGTACCAGTCAAGGAGGGTTCCGGATCTTTCCCATCAAGTTCAATATAAGGGCAAACGAAAAGTTTCGTTTCAGCTCCATGCTTTTGACGGTCTATTGTTTTATACACCTCTTAGCGGGAGGGGAGAAGGGTGCGTGGGAATCACGAGTGGCATATTATATTCAAAAATATGACCGTCGAAACTATATATTTGAGACATTGTGAAAGTATTGCCCGAGAAGGATGGCCAGAGGGCGATATGTGGCTGAAAATGGATCAAGTAGATCCAGAGTTGTCAGCGCAAGACCAGGGACGAGTTCCCCCATCAGCCTTGAATCCGTCCATGATGGCTACAATAGATGCGTAGGTGCCAGATACCATCAAGAAAGAACCAATGACAATGATGAAGATAGACCAGCCAACCATCACTCGCCACCGCCATGTCGGGTTTGCCTTGCCATCGCTCCAGTTGTCGTAAAGCCACATGCATCCGTAGGGTTGGAACGAAAGAATTGTGCCCATCAGGGCACCGACGAGTGAGATAAGGTTGCCAAAAATGGGGATGGCGCTGGCAATGATATATGCGAGAAGAGCGACACCTCCCGTGCAGCTGAGCCAAACAGCCCAGTGGGTGAATGTGTTGGCTGTAAGATGCTTAGAGTCACGAAGGAATCTAACAAACAAGTACTTTGCCGTGTACTATCCAGAACAGTAGTTAGTAAGAAACTTTACTGACAGGATGTACTTAAATCAGATTTCAGGTAAACTTACGTGATTAGGCAGAATGCAGGACACCATTAAACCAGGGAACGCAAGCCCATATGCGACTCTCTTCACGAGGGGACCAGCCGATCCGGGAGCCGGGGATGCCACGTAGGAACCACAGTAATAGTAGACAAGGATACCAATAACAAGGTAAACTGATGTGAGGAAAAGCACGCATATGGTGAGAGCCTTGTTGTAGTGTCTCACATCCTTCATTTCGGACGCAATGTTGAAAAATGCAGGCACTCCTGCATATGAAAATACAATGGAAGATATGGCGGCTACAGCATCAGTAAAGCTGGGAGACGAGATTATTTTATAGTCAGAGTGGAAAACGCCGGTCGTGGGAGCTGCAGCAGGACGATCTTGTCGGGATACGGCGATGGAAACAGTCAAGACTAGGTGGATCAATCCAAGTTAGCTAATGGTGACTTGGATATGGTTCAGAGGAAAGGATTTCCATCGCGAGCATAACTTACTGGCAGTGAGAATCGAGACGGTTCCAACCCATGCGAGCCAGCTGATACGGCTGAGTGTCTGAATGCTGCCAAAGAGGAAGGCAATGATGGCTGCCACAACGACGAAGACTGCTGTGCAGGCACCATGTAAGGAAAGGGCGTTGAGAGCAATGGACAGACTCAACAAAGCAGAGCCGCAGCAAAAGGTGAATACTTGATTTGTTGTAAGCAACACTGCGGTGGGATATTTCCCCGGGGTTTCAGGGGTTACACATACAAAGACAGAAAAGGGCAGCGAACACTTCTTTTCCAATACGACCAAACATGAGTCCAGCCGCGTCATCGATGGAGTATACTTCGGGATGTCGCTGTTTGAATACGCCGATAACATAGTTGGACCACCAAGTCATGAGTGCAATGGCGATGATGATGAGGACACCTGGGACCATACCAAGCGCGTGGAGTGTAAATGGGATGGATAGAACGCCGAGACCGATCTGAGACTTGATCATCAGAACTGCTGTTCCGAACATGCCGATCTGTAAGATAGATAAATTAGCTACTAATTCATCTAGGGGAAAGCAGGGGCCAAGTGAAAGACGAAAAACCTACGTCTCGATAGTTGGGACCATCCTCCGTGATGTCGCCAAAGACTGCATCGTGTGTGATTCCCTGCTCGTGTGACTCTCCAACCTTCGAGGCAGTTCGCTCGGCACGATCGAAATCATTGAGGCTTGGCTTCGCCATTTTAGAGTCACGATGTGAGGCAATCGAGTCGTCCCTGTCAGCTGAAGAGGGATTGACGTTCATGCTAAAAGCACTCTTCAACAGAAGGTGAAGGATGGCTTTGGTTGAAAGAGATGGGGATAAGTTTGAGAGAAGAGAAGTGTAAAGTGTGCCAATGTAAAGATCAGAGAAACAATCGGGAGGTTATATAGACGAGGGCTCGAGCCTCCTTATCTTTGTCGTGATGACATGTACTATCAGAAGGTACACTTCCTGATACTGTGATAAACGTCGGCGTGATCCCTGTATTGAACACACCCACGTTCGCTTGCTTGATGATATCTGGGGTACAGAGACCCCCAGTGGCCCAATCGAATGGACGAGAGGAACGGGAGAAAACAGGAAGTTGTGTGTGGAGTGGCGTGCAAACTCAGTCTAGACCTATGATAGCTCGTGGGGTCCTGACCCCAACTTCAGCCAGAATCTACCTAGCGCAGCTGCCTCTCCGAGCTTTACCCTCTTATCAGCCCCCTTCTCTACGCCTTCAATTCTTTTCCTAATCCAGAAGGGAAGTTATGGGCGGGTGGCATGGAGGGCTTGAGCGGAGTCCTGGAGCGTAGTAGCTTCCTACGCCCAGATACCTGACCCCTCAGCCTTGATGGGGATGATTCTTTCATTGTTTGCTTGCACACTCCCCCCTCTGGCCCTTTCCATGACTCATAAAGACCGGTACTCTGTTTTATTTCTCGGTATCTGATAACAAAGACGATGACGCCTCAGTGGAATTGTCAATGCCCTCGCCATATATACTGCCCGAGTATGATCCGTGGTTGCATGTAACAGCCAATGATTGCGTTTTACCATCTCCGCCCTTTTCTAGAAGGCGTTCATATAATTAATTATTGATGAACTAATAAGACCTTGCATAAAGTTTTATGATGAGACGACAGAACTCCTAATAAATCACTTGGGTGACACTGAATAGCAAGGTATAACACTCGACTTTTATTGACGAATCGAGATTCCATGTAAGGAAAACAATAGCCTTGTTTCAAGCGATTTCTTAGAGATTTTTAGACGCCAGCCTCCTCCAATAGCGCCCTTTTGATTTCAGCAGTGATTGGTTCCTCGACATTCTTCAATTCCAGCTCCTTTTCTGTCCGTTGTGATTTGACCAGGGCGTTGGTGCCGAAGAATACACTCCCACCAGGGAGAAGCTTGGCCGCCTCTTCAGGGGTAATCTGCTCGACCTCGCTGGAGGAAATGAGTTTGCTCTCCTGAGCCACACGGGCCACCAGCTCGGAGATTTCTCCAAACGACTTCATCGGTGTCAGCCTTGATCTCCGTCATCGGGGGTACGGGGGAATGCCGTCCTTACAATGTCTTGCGCGCTTGGGAAATAGAGACCTTGCTCACCCCAGACCTCGGCCACTTTGCATCCATTGGCGCCCGCATCTGCCAGCTCGGCCCAGACTCTGGCAAGGTCACGGACATGCACGCTTCCCCAACGGCTCAGTCCCTTGCCTACTTGGACCGCTCGACCTTTCGCGAGTGCCACACGACACAAGGCGGGGATTTGAATACTCTTTTTGTTAACCGGACCCTCACCGCGTCCGTAAACGATAGGTGGGAACACGACGGCAGATCGAATCTTGGGGTAATCGGTGGCAGCAACATCGAGCAGGTAGTTGTCCACCACGCGCGATGGGTGCGCTCTGATAAGCGAGCGAATCTTGGCAGCATCGGCTACATCATCAAAAATGACATCCGAAGCTGAGCCAGGCTGAAACGAGCTTGATGCCAGCTCATCGGCTGCCAGGAGACTAGCACCTGACACTTGGACCCAGTATGCTGCCATGATGTATCATGTCAGCTGAAAGTCACGCTCACACAACCCACTGATTTGCTGCATATGAAATGAAATTATAAAGCATAACGTACATGGGGATTGACGCTTGGCTAGACCGCGGTGAATGGCACGCACGCTATCGATATGTTTGTTTGATGCCACATCTGTGATATTTTTCGTTAGTAGCTTTGCTACCCCATCCAGGCCAATAGATCAGACATACTGAGGACCACGGTGGCTTTCTCCGCCTCTTTTTCCACTAGAGAGACATTGCCAAGGTCTCCAATAACAGTCTGCACCTGAGGGAAAGCCTCTTCGATGAGCTTTGCGGCATCTGGGTCGCGAACCAACGCCCTTATAGTGCCGTATTGACGGGGATGGTCGATAATGGCCTTTAAGACCTGGCCTCCAATGAAGCCAGATGCACCTGTACTGTTTGCCCTTTATCAGGAAGGGGGAACAAAGGATCCAGACACGGGGACTTGCTTACATGAATACTGAAGCCATTTGCTGCGGTTTTTGTTTTGGGTTTCTTCTTTTTTTCTCTCTCTTCTCGTATTTGATAGCGTTCCGTGTGAGACAACGAGGAGTCGGATCAGTGTGTCCGAGGTTACGGAATACCAAGAATTGGGGTCTATCCTTTATAATTCTTTTACCATCTGTTCAATTACTTATCCCAACGGGCACGAAGCCGATTTTGGGCGATATTCCTTGTTGAGTGCACCAGAGCCCAGATGCAAGTAAGAAAGGTTTGGGCTGTCCTTGTCCCTATTCGATATAACTTGCCGTTTTATTACTGGAAGTGAGTTTACCCCGCACAGATATCAGATATTAAAGGCATGAAATGACCATGATTCACAAACTCATCGCAAAGTCCTCACTGAATTGAGTTGCTACTAAACCCAACCCGGAAACAGAAGTTATCTGCGAGGCGGGGCAACAAACACACCAACTAGATTGGATGGGGGCTCTTCATCCCCTCCCCCAAACTCACTCGCCTCTGCATTTCCTTGGCCCCAATTTTAGTTCAAATCGGATTGAGGTATCCTCTATCAAATTCTACAGGATGACTTAATCACAATTCCCCCCAGCTGAACCCTGGGGCATGATCTGGCTCGGGCATGGCTCCCTTTTCCGTGCTGGGTAACAAGTATTGCACACTCTCCTACTTAGATAACGGCCATTTTGCATCAGGTTTTGAAATAATTCCTTGCTGGAGAGGTGCTTGATCGGACCTGGTAAGCATTCGCGTTTATTTCCGTCTTTATCAATCAGGGTTGTGCACCATTTTTTTCCAAGTACTCATCCAGCAGATAAGGTCTACCTCACCCAAGGTGGCCAAGGAAGGAAGAGTATTCAGCACCGAGCTTTTCATTCCGTTTGCATCTTTATCATCATGAGTACCAACCCAGTTGAAACTTGGCAGACAAAGGCCGAGCTGCCAAGACGAATGCGCGATGAGTCGTTGGCCCAGGTCCAACCTCCGCTGACTGGCATCCCTGAGCCCCTACCGTTGAACTGTCAGGGTCTTCCCAAGCTTGTTCTCACCCCTCGGGAGCTGGAACTTACTGAGTCCTACTCTGTAGAGCAATTGCTCGCTCAACTCCACAGTCGAAAACTCTCGTCCGAGGAGCTCACAAGGGCGTTCCTCCGCCGAGCCGCGCTTGCACATGTAGTCACAAACTGCCTCACGGAACTACTATGGGACGATGCTATTGCACGCGCTCGTTACCTGGATTCTTTGCCCGAACCCATCGGTCCCTTGCACGGACTGCCCATCTCCATCAAGGAGCATCAGGGAACACTGGGCAAGAACAAGACATCCAACGCCTCTTATGTCTCCTACATTGGGAAACACCAGGGCTCGACGCTTTTGTGCGATATCCTTTGGAATGCAGGGTGTGTTCACTTTGCCCGCACAACGCAGCCACAGGCAATCATGCATCTGGAGACAGAGAGCAACATTTACGGACGAACTGTGAACCCTTACAACAGAGATCTGACGCCTGGTGGAAGCAGCGGCGGCGAAAGCGCGCTTCTCGGTATCCGAGGCAGTCTTTTTGTAAGTACAGCACAGCCCATTAGAAGCATGTGTGCGATAGAGTAGGTTGCTAATGAAGTATTTTCCTTTCAGGGAGTTGGCGGAGACATTGGCGGAAGCATCCGAGTTCCAGCTGCTCATGTTGGAGTTTATGGTTTCAAGTAAAAGACACACGCTCTAAATCCACCTATAGTATTGCCTGGGGCTCTAGACTCTGACAGGTAGAAATAGGCCATCCGCACAGAGACTGCCTATCGCTGGTGGGACCGGCCACATGTTTGGACGGGAGTGTATTCTCGCCACCAACGCCCCGATTACGGCGGATCGGGACTCCCTTGAGCTATTCATGAAGACTGTGGTTGATGCACAGCCGTGGCGCCTGGAACCCTCGGTTCGATATCAGCCCTGGGTACCCTACAAGTTCACTAAGCCCCTCAAGGTTGCCGTTCAGTGGTGGGATGGCGTGGTGAGGCCACACCCGCCGGTGCTTCGTGCTCTCCGCGAGGTCGCCGACGCTTGCAAGAAGGTAGGCATGAAGGTTGTTGACTGGGACTGTGGGTCGTTGGATCATGCGCGGGGATGGGAGGTTCTCTCTGGATTGTTCTACCCGGATGGTGCAAAGGAGGTGCTCGGGTTGATCAGAGATGCCGGTGAGCCACTGCTGCCGTTGACCAAGTTCATCACCGAGGAGCAAGCCCACGTGAAGGAGCGTACAGTTCAAGAGCAATGGAAGGTGAGGACAAGCCTGTTTTCGTTTTGCCCGGTTCTGGGGGAATATGGCTAACGAACCTTGTCTTCAGCTTGTCACCGAACGTGAGGCTTACAGAACAGCCTACGCTCGCCACTGGTCCAGCACGGCCGATGAGGATGGCCAGGAGGTGGACGTTATTCTCTGTCCACCGGCCTTTGGAACTGCGCCGCCCCATGGGCAGTCCCGCTACTGGGGTTACGCCGCCATCTGGAATCTCCTCGACTATCCCGGAGCTGTCTTCCCAGTTACCACCGTTGACCCTGAAAAGGATGTGAAAGATCTCAGCTATGAGCCACGTAATGCAGAAGATCAGTTTGTACATGAATTGTACAATGCGGAACAATATGCGGGCCTTCCAGTGAGTCTGCAGGTTGTCGGACGTCGCCACATGGATGAGAAGGTCCTCGCTGCAGTGAAGGAAATCGAGCTTGCCCTGGGACGTATATAGGATAGATGGTCTTGAATGAGAGTGGAGAAATAGCCGAATAAAGAATAGAATAGAATATTTGCTTGATAGAGCGTGGGTACTACACGTATTCTTGTCGGCTGTGCACTGCATTCACTATTTGAAAGTCGCCAAAACATCAGGGGGTGTGAGGTATTCATCAATTAGGTCGTTGCAGATGGGACTGATTTAAATTGTCTAATGTAGGGGCCACGCGTAGAGAAGAAGATCTGGTCCCAAATTATACTACTTCATTCATGTGAAGTAAGAATTCTACGTGGTTACTCCTCCAAGTTCGAACTAGAGGACCTTCAGTCTGGCGAAGGGCATATCAGGCTGCCTAAAGATCTTCTCTGTAGCAGCCATGCTCCTCATTTCCTCCGGCAGGTCAGTGAACTCTAGATTGAGAATAAGAAGCGACACGAAGATACGAAATTCTAATGTTGCAAGTTTGCGGCCTATCGATGTCAGCCTTTGTCAAACCGGCGATGTGAGAACATGGACTTACCAGCACAGCCTCTGTATCCGCCACCGAACGCCAGGGACGGGATAGCATAATGATTGAACGTCTCCTTCCCTGTATCTATATCCTTGACCAAGTATCTTCTTGGTTCGAACTTATCGAGATCGTACCCAGCACGTCCACGTAAACCGTCCCCATGCTTGTCGGCAGCAGCCTGACAGCTGCCCGAGCGCTTCGCTTCATCCACGGGAACTGGCGGTCGCGTAATATGATAGTTCATAAAGATCTCAGCACCTTTGGGAATGTGGTAGCCTAGAATTGAAGTGTCCACGACGGCTTGACGCAGATTCCCCTTGGCTGCACCTGCAAGACGGAATCCTTCTTCAACCACAGCGTCGAGATAAGGGACATTCGTTTCTATGATAGCTTGGGCAGAAGGGGGCTCGGGGCCGGGGAATGCGGCTCGAAGGACGGTGCGCAGTTCACTCTGGACGGTTGGATAAGCTTCCATGAACCGGACAAACCAACACAGAGAATTGGCAGTCGAGTCGTGGCCCTGTACAAAAAGCAACGGTTAGTAATGGCACACAATGTGTGTGGTGAATGAAAATTAAAGAAGGCAGAGAATCCCGGGGGGTCAAGGTGGTTAACATACCCCAACCAGCATAATGAAAAGCTCGTCAAGCATATTCTGGTCTTTGGTCGGATCAGGCAGAGGGGCATTGTTGTTCTTCCTGGACTGGAGAACAAGACGACGAAGTACCAGGTCCAGCATACATCGGTCAGTATCACCACTGTTCAAAGTCTCCACGTCGAGACCCTGGAATCGTTTGATAGCGGCCGCCATAAGCAGGCTAATCTCTCTGGTGACTGTGGAACGGAATCTCTGATACCGGGGCGTATACGTCTCGAATTTTCCAGCCCATTTCGGAGAAGGGGTGTTAGAGATGCGTGCAATAGTATCGGAGATGTACCGCACCTCATCTCTGAGGAAGCCACCTCGTGGCGGCGTTGCGTCAAAGGGTATAGAGCCGCCGATCTTGTTCCGTAATTTTTTGATGGAGTGGTCAATGATTCCTGCTTCATCTCCTAGGATGGACACCCAGATAGCATCGAGAGTGGTGTTCTGGAGATCCTCGTCGACAGCGAATGGCTTGTCGTTGGAGACGGAGATCCTAAGACGCCAAAGCTCGACCAGCTCAAGTGTAGCTTTATGAATCCTCGGTGCCGTGGCCTTGTGCAGGAACTCGGCCGTCATAACGTCGGCCCATAGGCGCTTCTGAGCTTTGAGCTCTGGCGTTGTGTACTGGGCGAGGGAGGCCTTGGGGAACATGGGCTGGAAAATGTCCAGGGCCATCGGCGCCTTGTCAAATTCCTTATTGCGACGAAGCAACAGATCCTCGATCTCTCGTGGGTCCTCAAGAACAATCAGGGGCTTGCGGATGCCAGGAAAAAGAAACTGTGCAATGGGTGTGCCCAGCTTCTGGGTGGTGATCCTGAAGATGGAGTTGGAAAACTCATTGGTCGCAGTGATGAGGGGAACCAGATCGGGGATATCGCCGGACACGCGATTGGCAGAGTCCTTGTTGTGAGGAATATCTGGGTAAGGCTTGGGGTAAAGGGCACGAATGGCCATGATGATGACGACAGAGACAAAGGGAATAGCTATCAAGCCATAGGAGAAGAATGTGTTGCTCATGATGACGGCGGACGGCGGCTGGTCTTAACGAACCGACGCGAATTCTCAGAATGACATTGCTTTTCAGAGTATTTTAGTAGATGAGACGGACAGAAAATCATGAGGAAGAGAGCATTCACAGCGCGGGGATTGCAAATAACGGCGGATTACGTGGATGATGAATATGACCAACCAACCAACCAACAATACCCATTGGTGGCCTGTGCGGACCTATTGCTAGTGTACATCATAATACCATAATGCATATATGTGCTAAGATATAGTCGTAAGCACGACTGTCGTACCCGTGTAGAGTTTAGCTGGATTGCACCCCCTGTAAGCAAGGCTTGGGAGGGTGAGTCTGATGGTATCCTGGTTCAGACTCCAGACCAGGTCAGAAGGAGTCCTCATGACAAATCTCACTCGACTTTTGAGTTGCTGATGACGGACATGGCGATGAAGATACGCACAAAGCCGCTTCATCTCGTTGAACATTGACATGTTGGTTCACATATGTGACGTTCTGTAGCATGTAGCTGAAATGTGCCTATCAACAGCCTGTTCCTAGGCGGGCGAGGCAATGGCTGGGTCAGAGAGTCGACTGAGACATATTAATCTTTACATGCCTCATACTTTCAAATTCGATACAGTATCCAAGGTTAGGTTCTTTTGTCTACCTACTCACAAGTAACTATACTCTATGTTGTACTCCTATCTGCCCAAGTAAGCCTACCTCTGCCTCTTAACCTTCTGTTCCGTTTTTCCGACCATGGCAACATTAATAATATGCCGGTTTCATTCCCTTACCTTTTAGTCCCACAGCTGTCCCTGGAATTGGTTACTCTCTTTCTTGTATTTCCCTATATCCTCCGTAAGAAGCCGCGTTCTATTAAGCTTACCCCCATTGAATAGAAACATCCTACTTCTCATGTCTGTTGTTTAATTCTACTCTTCTCTAGGGAATGATTCCGAAGGGAACCAGATTTTAGCATACTAGGGGGCTTGGATTTCACATAGATATAGGTGTCGAAAGATGAAGCATTATTCAGGGGTGTGTCAGAGTTGTGGCTAAGGGCACGACATTTGCCATTCTAGGATTTTCTAGTTATTACATTGTCTTAGCTAGACTGTTCTGCTCCAAGGTTGCTTTCGGCTGATTCTTTCAGGGGCTCGCCAACTTACTCATCCTCTTTTAGGGGGTACCGCCAATTGATACAACCCGAAACATGCAGGTGTGCATTTCTGTTGATAGGGATTTTTTAGAGGGAGGCTGTAGAAGTTACCTAGTCAAGGAGAGAGTAAATTGAGTGAGAGAGGTGTGGATGTCATCTCCTACGGGCATAGTAGCCTCGGGGGTTTGTTCTGACGGTGCGACTCCCCGCCAAATTCTATTACTACCTACATGTACCTATCTAGAAATAGAGCTACAGGAGTAATGGATATAACATCTGGGGCTTGGCGCTAATAGAAACTATGTTTAGTGATGCACCTCTTTACTACATGCATTAACTTGTTAGTATTATGTTGCCACTATCAAATTAATGAACTACCCAGCAAGATCTTCTAAAGACGTGGACATAGAGTTACCAACTTATCCTCAAGAGAGGTGGGGGTGATGATGAAACTTCAAAGCCAAATGTAAAAGGTTGTTAAATATTCTCGGATCCTAAGCTATATCCATCTTGTTGACTAGCACAAGCCTCTCACATATGAAAAGAGGGGTATGGAGTAGTTTGGAGCTGAGTCTCCGCACATGACAGTTCACCTTGTCCGGTAGTTGGGATATTGGGGGACTATACTTTTCAAGGGCAACATTTGAAGCGAGATATCTCATCTTGACCATACAAGTCTTTGACGTCAGTGTATCAATGATGGAACAAGATGTGGGATGCTTTGGAGGATCTGTGGTCCCGGGTAGGTGCCTAGGTACTGTAGTATCTAGCAGAAGATATGAGGTGGCTGCTGGGGCAACGAGGGCGGGGCTGTCAGCCAGCAGCACCTGCGACCACCGTTGATGACAGGGGGTCTAGCCGTACCTAGCGCACGCAGCCCCTGTAAAGTCCCCTGAGAAAACAGACGATTTGGGAGACCATGTGGGCAGGTACCTGCGGGCCGGCAGTAATTGGCAGCGGCGGGAGGTACCGCGTCTCTCGTGGCCGGTCGCTGCCAACGCAAAAAAAATAGCTGATGGATCCTATCCCAAGTCCGGGTTGGCTCACCACCCAAAGAGGCCTGGCTCACTTGCCCATTCAATGCATCGTCATTGCTTTTCGTCTTCTGTCCTGCTTGCTCCATCCATCGGGCAGCAACCTTGCGTTCCATTCTACCTGCGCTGTGGCCTTGACGACCAATCCGCATATCCCTCCACCGCTGTGCTGATAGGCTGGGCGGGCCGACCTAGCCAAGATGCACCATGTCCCACGATGAATCCCATAATCAATCTGGCCGCAGCCCGACCAACGACACTCTTGATCCCATGCAGCGACCATCCACAGCGCGGCGCGTTTCCGCTGAAGATTTCAGCGCCATCGAGCTCCCAGCCCTAGTCGACGACCTGCCCGCCGCGAAGGCCGGCCCCTCGCCCCTCCGGAAACACGACAACGCCGCGCTCTCGCTGGCTCCGCCCATGGACCTGAAGCACGAGGATACGTCGTCGTCGGTCGCTTCCGTCGACCGAGAACAGGAGGATGGCGGCGCCATGGTGGGAAAGAAGAGTTTTGACCATCTTGACGAAAGCTACCTCGCCGCCGAGCCCATCGAGCCTAGTAGGCTCCCCGACGACTCTTTGACCGAGGAAGCAGTGCGCGAACACCTGAGAGACGTCGAATCCAGTTTTTTACCAGCCCTTTCACCCGTGCCCGCCGGCAAAAGGAGCATGGCCGGGGGTATTGATGATACATTTGCCTTTGATTCGCCTGAGAAGACCGATATGCCCCCTCGCGGCGCGACTCCTGAGACCCATCCGATCGACGCGAGCAACACGACATCGAATCTCGAGGGGCTTGACTCGTCGCCCACAGCGGCTGCCGCTGCCAGAACCATTTCAAGGGTTGTGAGCTCCTCTAGCCGGGGGCAGTCCCAGTTCCAAACTCGCACGGGGCACTTCGAACCCGCCACCATTCAAGAAAACGGGCCTGATGATGAGGACGTAGCTGGAGCTGGGGAGGGCAACGAGAGCTCGCATGCTTCGGCATCGGGTGACCAAGAAGGCTCGCTCTCTCGCTCACACTCACTATCGGACCGGCGAGATGCGGCTGGGAGTAACCTGAGCGGCTCTTTGCGAATTAAAAAAGGAAAATATCTGCGCAGCCGCTACGCCAGCCAGAGATCGTCTACGTCCTCCTTTGCAACAAATTCGGAATCAATTGATGGAAGCGAGATTACGGCGATGGGAGCTGCGGACTACGCTTTGCAATCGGGGGGCGCTGTACCTGCACTCGGTGCGTCATCGCGGAATTCAACAAACATGTTTACTCGATCCATTAGTATCGGCAGTGCAATTTCTGGTTTCGACGATGTGACGGATCCTTTTGTCGGCCAGCTCGAACCCCTACCCGAGATCAACAGTCCCGTAAGACAGACCCATGAGGAGGATCTAGCCAAGACGCCCAAGGCTTCCAAGGAGAACCTCAACACTGCACCGACGGACACAGTCATTGCCCGACACGTTAGAAACGTCCAGGTTCCCGAGTCTCTGGCTAAGAAGTATCAGGTCAGGGGCGGGCTTGAGACACCTCGCCAAGCGTCATCCAATGTGATGAGCAGTCTGGGATTGTCGACTGTGGGAACCGGCAGGAATGGGAAGAGCTTGACTCTCAAGGAGCAAAGCAGCACAATTGAGAGGCTTTCCAAGGAGAATTTCGACCTGAAGCTCAAAGTCATGTTCTTGAGCGACAGACTTGACAAACTCTCCGAGGAGGGTATCAAGGAAATGATTTCTGAGAACGTCGACCTGAAAACCAACCTTGCGATTCTACAACGAGACAACAAGGTACTACGTAAGCGAGTTAAAGAGCTTGAGAAGCAGATGAAGGATGAGGACGAGCGACCAAGCACAGCACGCAGCGGAGCTTCCTCAACGGACCAGACAGCGAAGATGTACGATGAGGATGCCCAGGAGCGAGAAGAGGAACTCTTTTTCCTCCGGGAGCGCGTTGAAGAATACGCGACCGAGATCGAGAGACTCCGTAACGAGAGCATGGCGAGCGAGTATGAGAAGAGGAAGCTCACAGAAGTGGTCATGTCCCTCGGGGAGAACAGGAGTGAAGGCCTTGGCAGGCAGGAAGAAGCAGATGTTTGGAAGGACTTGCTCGAGCAAGAAACAGCAAGAAGAGAACAAGCCGATGACGATAACCGCCGATTGCGAGATGAGCTTTTCCGGCTCAAGCAAGAGATGGCTGGCAATGGAGTCATGAATCACACGACCAACATCTACAACATCACTAAGAAACACCGCGAACAAAATGGTTCTCTCAGCCGCCCCATGTCGAGACACTCTGCTGACACGATGGAAATGGGATCCGCTGCTAATCTAAGTGCGGGCACAACACTCGTGGATGAGTTACGGAAAGAAGCCGATCAGTTGCGCCATGAAAATGCCGAGCTCAGACGTGAAGTTGGGGCGCAAACCTCAATGTTGACTTCTAGGAACAGAGAAAAGGAGCGCCTGTACCAAGAGATTGAGGATTTGAAGATGGCACAGCGACATGGCCGACCGGCACCCTCCACTGTCGACAGCCTGCTGGATCGATCTGCCTCCCGTATCCGTGGTCATGATCGATCTCATTCAAGAGGAAGCGCCGCCCGGACGCTCATGACAGCGGATGAAGACGCGGAGCGAGAGCGTGATGAGCTGGAGACCAAGCTGAATGAGGCACGTGACAAGTTGAGCGAGGTCAAGCTCCAAAATCAGGAACTACAGCGCGAGCTTGAGACATGCATGGAAGATTTTGAGGCTGCCGTCCTTGGGAAGCGAGAGGCCGAGGATACTCTCGGAGCTTTACAGGAGGAACTTGAAAATG